GTTAAAAGGCCCGCCTCTCTTGCACGAGGGCGCGGGTTTCGATCCTGGCAAGTACAAATGTGATTTTTCCGAGTCTTATTATGTACTTTCTAAGAGTATTTAGACATCACTGATTAATGCTGATTCCCAAAGAGGGTTGATGTCAGGCAGGCGGCCGGTCGTTAAAACAAATAAAGCCAAAACTATTTACAACATGTAAGGCAGACCCTGGCTAAAGCTGGGATATGCCAGTTTATATTCATCAAAATTCATACCAACTTAAGTGATGTTATGGAGAATAATTATAAAAGATTTTTATGTATGTATGTATGTATGTATGTATGTTTACGGGTATATGATTTTAATTACTTACAATAGACGCTCACGCACGTAGAGACAGATGAATATATTCATATATTACAGCATGCAGGTTTTAATGTAAAAAAATACTTGATTACTAACAGTAACCATGAATAAATAATATTAATTCTATCAACATTCCCGAATAAATACAAGAAATATATGCGAAAACTCGAAATAGGTTGGTCGTGGATTTGTACGCGGTAGAAGTGGGAGCGAGAGTTATAACAGCTAAATCTCTCTACAACCTACTAAAAGACTTGGGCCTGTCCAGAACTAACATTTATACATTCATGGAACGTACTTCAAAGGCAGCCCTAGTAGGTTCTTTTCAAATTTGGTTAGGTAGAGAGAGGAACTTAGACAGTGGAGGTGTGCGTTAGATAGGAGCCCCTTAATTCTATACCTGGGTTGTATGTCCCAGTCACTGTTGAAGCTCCTCTCTACAACGATGGACCCGGCAAACGCATATGAATACATTGAATGGTGAGAAATTTCGTATCTGTATATCAGTATTCACAAAAACTATACATTAAAACTGACAGTATTGCGTCTACAAAACAAACTAATACTTCGACCTAAGTATATATTAAAATAAGTTTCTTCAAATATTTATTGTCATTGAACAAAAAACGGACATATTGTAACAAAACTCACGATTATCTCAATTGAATTTAACTTACAAATATGTAATAATAGACAATTATTATCGCACAATAACAACCTGAATACAAGCTAGTTCACAAAACAAATTACAGCTCCAACATTAAATTATTATTGGAATGAATATTCAACAAGGATGTATAAAGCTTTTATGAAAATATTTGTTCTAGTTAATAGCTATAATATTATTATGATATTTTCAAATACTCTTTAATATTTCGACTTCGTTTTTTTTTATATTTCATCATCATCATCATCAGAGTCTACTGCTGAGTAAAGGCCTCTTCTCACATGGAGAACATTTTCTATATTTACTAACGGAAATTTCTAGACTTTTAGTGTAAGTCACTGTTGAAGCTCCTCTCACTACAACGATGGACCCGGCACCCGCACGGTGAATACATTGAATGATGAGAAGTTTCGTCTCTAAATATAACAAATGTCAGAAAAAGTATTTTTCTTAATCAACTGATTATTAAAATCGACACTGGTTTATAATTTTCAGTTTTCAATATTAAGTACATATTCTGTTTTTGATAAGCTTATTGTGGAATCAAGTTTCATAAAGTCATATTTATAAAATAAACAAATTTAGCAATGTTAGAATAAAAATTTCATAGTATAAAATATTTCCATCAAATGATATTAGTTCAAGAAATTCTGCACGTCTTTAGAGCTTTAAGCTTCAGAGGATGTACTACACACGTGTCGTCAACAGTATGTCATTCATAAATCTTAGTATTAACGTGGGTTATTGAGTGAGAGACGGGAGACGCGGAGTGTGGAGTGTGGTGATGAAAACAAATTCAATAATTCACTTAAATAAACACTTTTAAAAATATTTATATACACATATATAAAATAATAAGTAGACATGTAAAAAAATATAACTTAAATGAGTAACACAATAGCATAATTGTAATTGCAAGGTTTACAATGAGAACGACCCATATGCTTTATAAATACATAGAGTATTTGTTTATATTATTTTGTATGCATTTTATTTATATTTGTATTTTACTTAAAAATCATAATAATCATCATGTTTTGTTCTCATATATATAGTAAGCTAGATATATGAAAATGAACACCAAAGCGTCTTAGTTTAACAACCAATTGCCGTCTTAGACGTATTGTGATCAGTGGTTTAGGGGATTTAACCATAATTCAATTAAAATGATTGTTCATTTCAGATAATATTCAAAATATATTTTTATATCTTTATTATAATTACCTAGATATACATTTTCAAAACGATAAAATTTGTCTGCTACGGAGTTTATATTATATTTTTATTCATGTCCCATCATAAAGCTTCTGATTATTATCCAAACGTGAAGACTTGAAAAGTATAAATAAATAAAACCTTTTTTAATATAAATCATAATCTATAAAACCTTTGATCAATCAATGCGATATAAAAAAAAACATAAACGTCAACTTAAATGACATATTATACTTTTTGTCTCGCAATTATGTCATAAATGAATAAAGCCTATCTGTGGATAGAATGATTAGAAAAACCAGTAGATTGCATCAGATTATCCCATCCTGACAATAATAATTGTTGTACTATGAATAATAATATAAAATATAACTTAGTAACAAGCATTCATTGTTTTAGTTATAATGGCGGCATTCCTGTCAAGATTATAGTCTATGGTATCTAGACTAGATAGATTTGAATTTGTGTTGTTTTAAATCCACTAACAAAGTTTCCTAATTGTGACTTCAGTCGAAATTGTTAAATTTTTCTTTCATTTAAAAGTTAATCCCTGATCACTTCTCCATTCTACACGACAGTGGCAGAATATATTGTGCACGTCTTTGCACGGCACGGCATATTTTAAACAACCAACTTAATGAAATATGAAACATATTTTTCATAGTTATGAATGAAAAAAATCCATTACAATTGTTTTTTATTAAAAAATGTCCAATCTTTCTCTTATATAAATCGTCAAGGGTAACATTTGACCTCAACTTTCGACACGGAACACACAAAGTCCTAAGCACTAAGTAATCCGAAAACTCACATATTTTTCCTTCACAAGTAATCTTATCTACCTGCAAAGATTGTATTATTCAGAAATAAACTCTCTGAAACACTTTAACTTTGTATTAATTTAGTCGAGTAAATATTATCTAGCAAATATTTGAAATCTCCATAGATTTTTATTTCTTGTAAAATAATACTTGACCTTCAGTTTCTTAATCCTCATTTGTTATCGAATTAAACCTTTCAGAACTTGTTTGAACAAATTAATCTAAAATATAAAGTTTCCGCATAGCTAAAGTATTATTTCTTTGAACCTAATAATCTGTCACTTATGTAATAAATATAAGAGGATTATTTATTTATACTAGACTAGCTTTTGCCTGTGACTCCGTCCGCGTGAACATCAGATTTGTACTCTTCGATTACGGCCACTGAACCCGAGCTGTACTTTATAGTTCCATCCGTGTATTTTTTGATCGGAATAAAAGATATCCTGTGTCCTTTTCCAGGGTTCCATCTATCTCTATACAAAAATTCATCAAAATCGGTTCAGCAGTTTAGACGTGAAAACGTAACAAACAGACAGAGTTACTTTCGCATTTATAAGATTATTAGTAGGGTTGTTATTGTTATTAGGGATTTTTCTTGTTCAATACAAATTCTTTATTTAAATGTATTAAAAAGAATATGTCGATCAAGAACTGAAACTACGAAGAAAAGTAACAATTTTGTTAAAAAAAATCAAATCTTATAGAAAAATAAAGTCTTCATTTGGCTAATTAATGAGTAACTTCCAAGAAACTAATAGTTACAAAATTGTATTAAGTAGAAAAGAAGATTTACAGCAAAACGAACAAAATATTTACTTAAAGGAATACGTATTGAAAAATTTTCTTGTATTTTAATCCGTTCAATATAGAATTACATTTAAATGAAATAACACGATTTCATGAATATTAATTCTATATATACATACATAGAATAAGAAATCATTTATAATTTTCAATCGAAGCTTTCAGAATTTATCATAATATATACAATATATCCTTCAAGTACTATATTAATAGTGAAATTAAACGCTCTATTCAATATGTTACCACATAGTCTCAATTGTATGGATGCAGGAGATGCATCTCATTGAGGGTCAATCAAGACAATTGGCATCCTGTCTACACCGGCCACATACATAAATTCATAACACTATATGTACTTCTACTATAAAAGATTAATATATTCTTCTTCTACCTGGCAATTTAACAGCTATCGCCAGGGTCTGCCTTACATGTTGTGAATAGTTTTGGCTAATTGTCTTTACGACCGGCCGCCTGCCTGATATCAACCCCTTTTTGGGAATGCATTAATCAGTGATATCTTAATACTCTTAGAAAGTACATATGACTCGGAAAAATTAAATTGGTACTTGCCAGGATCGAACCAACGCCCTCATGCATGAGAGGCGGACTTTTAAACCACTAGACCACCACTGACTTCAGTTCCAATATAAAAGTATATGTATACATATATTTATATTACTTTTAGGCTTGAAAGTTACTGGTTTATCTGTAATTAGATGTGTGTATTTAGTAATAATCTTTTTGATATTAAATCAGAAACTTCTTAATAATGAAAAATGGTTTTGTTCCGTAATAATTTATCTAATATAAGCAAGTACATTATACTTATATAAACATATACGAAATAAATTACAATTATTTATACATTTAAATCCCAAATAATTGTCATTTAATGATTGTATTTGGTAAGCGTAAGGCATTTAATTCAATGCCTTATGTCACATACACACACACTTACAAACATCGACTTCAAACTTAATAAAACCCCTCTTTTTGCACCTTGGTTTAATTGGAGAAGCATAATTGTTGATTTGTGCCTAAAATCATGTTTATAGCTACTTACTACTCCTTTTCTCCTTCATAGTAATGCTTCAATGATTAGTTTAACATATTTTAAATGAAGGGTATTTTGTTTCAGATAAACAATGGGTTCACTTCCCCCGGAGTCGGTGGTGTCTGGTGCTCGGACCTCGGTCCCGGCGGCGCCACTCATAAAACACATGCAGCAGATGGATAGTGACAGAATTGCGCTTATTTACTCTGGTTAGTTATAATAATACGCATGGCAGACCCTGGCTAAATCTGGAAAATTGCCAGGAAGAAGAATTTATAATAATACGCCGAAATTTACCAATAATATCAGCTATCATAGCCATGTAACCTCAACTTTGTAGGGGAAAATAGACTTTTCAGTTTTCTTTCATCTAGTCTACCCGTGATTAAGTAGAAATAAAATAGTCGTAGTCTGCGAAAACCATGCTTTTTGAATACTATTCCCACACATACTTTCATTTCCATTTCATTAAATAAGCCTGAAAAAAATCTTGCAGCAACATAAGTAAGGGAAGAGTTTGATAATAATTTGGGACTATACCTCATGTATTTTTGCCCTTCGTCCAGATGAAACCTGCAGGAAGCAGATAAGTTACGCGGAGTTAGAAGCAAAGACCAACGCTATATCTCGTGCCCTGACTGCACACGCTCGGTCCAGAGGAACTAACAGGGATAACGATTTTGTGATTGCCGTGTGCATGCAACCAACACACAAGTATGTAATATTTAGACATTTAACATAACTCCTGTGCAAAAACAAATAATGTACAGTAAAATAATCGTCACATATTTGGGTCATTTTACTTTAAGATCTATTTTGAAAATTTCTGGTAAGATTGTTACAAATTCTCAGTGTAGGTACTGTATTGATTTCATAACTTAGATTTCTTTACATATTTTCTGTTTAAATGATAATATTGACAAACAAATTATAGGCTATGCGATAGTGTACATACACAATCTCTTAATCGAAATGTACGTACTTTATTAAACTTTAAACTTGATACTGCTTCACTTCACTAAAAAATAGTTCTACAAAATGGACATATTATATTTAATATCACAATTCGTCAGAACTATAATGGCACTGCTATCAACTTGGAAAGCCGGAGCCGCTTACTTGCCAATTGAACCAAGCTTCCCTCAAGGACGAATATCACACATCTTGAAGGATTCAGAACCTTCACTCGTCATATATGACCACACTGGTAAGTTAACCACGGTCTTCTTCTTCTACCTGGCAATTTCCCAGCTTTAGGCAGGGTCTGCCACGGTAATGCAACGAAACCTTTGAATAATTTTGTAACATAGCAGTTCGAGAAAAATTTCCCAGTTACATTTGAAGATTCAAGTTAGGCAAATAAAGAAAATCATGTTTAAGTCACAAAAAATTGTTGCCTACTAGAAAATTGCAAAGTAACGCATACATCGAAGCACAATTTTCAAAATCAGTTTAAACAACTAGAGAAGAAGTATGCTAGAAAAGAATTTACTCTACCATAAAATATTTTTATTCTCATCATCAGCGAATCCAACGATGTTCTCAAGTTCTGGAGTTCCATCAATATCTTTCGAGGAGTTGGCGCTGGAAGCCAGCGTATTGCCCACACATCGCCCAACAGAACAAGAAATGTTAATTGAAACAGATGCTGACTCCATCGCGATTATTTTATACACGTCTGGGAGCACTGGGATACCTAAAGGTAAGAAACCTTAAGAACAAAGATAGAATTAAATCAATCAATCCCTACTAATATTATAAATGCGAAAGTAACTCTGTCTGTCTGTTACGCTTTCACGCCTAAACCACTGAACCGATTTTAATGAAATTTGGTACAGAGATAGATTTGACCTTGAGAAAGAACATAGGATAGTTTTTATCCCAGACTTTTGAAAGGTTCTCTTGGAAACGCGATATAACCGAACTCCACGCAGGCGAAGCTGCTTGCGGAAAGCTAGTATAATTAAATATATTATAATGTCTTCTTCTTACTGGCAATTATCCCAGCGTAAACCAGATTCTGCCTTCCTGCCTAAACTCCTCCACTTTTCACGATTTGGCAATTACATATATCATAATAATATACTAGTTTATTTGATTTAAAAGAATTCTTTGTACAATACAAAGAACATACAATTAATATATATGTCATATTAAACGATTACTGCTTGCACGTTCAACGGTATGAAATATTATTTTGATAGTTCAAGCCCCAAGGTTGCATCCAATCACCACGATGTACCTAATAGCACACAGATTCTAAGATTACTAAAATAACTTGGTATAAATAGATAAATATACTCTAAGCGAAGTAATTTTCATTTATTTGAAGACATGTATTTCGCTAACATAACTGAAAGGACACTTTTTTTTGTTAGGATATAGTTCAAATCATTTAACACTTCGTAGAATATGTCTCGAGTATGACGTTTCTAAGAAACTTAGTTGTTCTGCGTACTGAAGTATTAAAATAATAAAATAAAACGAATGAACGACAGAAAATATAATAACGTAGTTAAAAAAATATAAAGAAAACATTTTGAAATAAATAACACATATATAAGTACATAATTGTAATTTAATTAAATGAAAATTTAAGAATTACAGGAAACAAAAAAGATTTTTGCTCTAATGTTGATGCTGTACCACCTAACGTATTAAAATTTCATATTCTCTGACAATATTTTCTTTAACAGTCGCTTACACAACCACTATTAACTCAATATTATTCTTGTCAAAACTACTAGGTCTGGTCTAGAAATATCTGATTTCAATTAAACTCTAAGGTCACATGTTTTATTTTTCAATCTTAGGGTCACTTTTTATCAATTAATTTATTTCGCACTGCATTCCATAATTTTCCAGAATGTTCAAACGCGTTTTATCACATTAAAAGCCACTTGATATTCTTGTTATAAAAGAATCTTAATTCCAAACTCAATAAGACATTTTCATACTATAGTAATATTTGGCTGTGCATACCACGTTAAACAGTATTGAATAAATATACAAATATTAAAATACCAATTATAAAATACGTTTAACTTATAAATGGCTTTACTTTCTAAGAATTTGATGTCTGTACTTTGTTCAAACCAAATAGTTTTCCATACTATTACTAAAGTTCTAGCAGCTATGTTGAAAAAAGTCCAAAGTTGCTTGGCTTTGTAACATTATAAGGGCTTTCAGAAGCCAAAAATTCAACTCTCTTAAATTAAACAGTTACTTTTCCATATACAGTAAATGTATTCATATAATAAAACAAAAACAATAAAATTTCTAACATATAGAATCATTTAAAATAAGAGCAATGACCTTGGTGTAGTCAGTTTAATTAATATATTTTATTACACGTTACCTTCATGCTATTAAAGCATTCTTTATATATTGCGAAGAAATCGATTCAATAGTTTTTTATGACAAACATGTAGTACGTTAGAAGTTTTTTTTTTTTGGGATGATAATATAGTGCGTTTACTGTTATGTTATACAGCCAATTTTAGAAAGAAGGCTGTATATAGTGTCATATTGCAACCAATAGGAGAAAAACGAAAATATATTTTATAAAAGCTCCGTTTGAGCTAAATAAACTATTAAAATTTCTATAAAACTATAATAACTGAGCTAAATAAACTATATAATATTACTTATAAATATATTATTAAATTATAGTCAAAACCGATAATTTTACATATTTTTTAATGTTATTGACACTAATATGACGTAAAACATCTAAAAAGTCTTTACTTAAACTCAACAAATATTCAGTTCTATGTAAAAGAAGCTGATGCATTATTTTATAACAATAGTACTATAATTAAGAATAAATTGTCATATTATTATTAAGTCTTAAATCAATTTTGAATGAATCACATATGGAGAATCCAATAAGGAAATATCAAGCGTTTTACGATTGCATTATTTATTTTAATTATCTGTATTATTACAGTTGACAGTGACTTAAGTCAAACTCATCATTGTTATGACATTGAAGTTTCTTCACTCAAATCTTGCTATACTTCGTTCAGGATTTTAAAATAAAATTGTAATTACATTAAGTTCTTCACTATCCTTTACCTATAGGTTTATTAGATATAAATATTTTTATATAAAATTAACATGTTTTTATATTTTTAATCTGTTTGGACTTTTCTTAATTTCAACGATTTTTTTCTTTTAAAAAAAGATCTATCTATAAAGAAGAATTGAAGCACTTTTAATTTTTAATATGTAAGGTATAGCCTCGGTTTGATCTGCGTAAATGAGGATATAAGAAAAGGCTTTCAGTATATCGAAAGTAAATAGTAAATAGTTGTAGACTTCTGAAATTAAAATACACAACATTAATGAAATAGTATAAAACTTTCTATATTATTTTAAATTAAAGTATCTGATATTCAAAACTCACTTTGAAAAACATAAGATTTAGCTTATTTATATTCTTACGGGTGATTTTAAAAACACATTGACTCTACAGATACAACTAGGTTTTTGCCCGCGACTTCGTCCGCGTTAATTTCGGAATTAGTTATTTATGTATAGCTGACCGAGCGAACTTTATTCCGCCCTAAAAGCCATAAATAACAAGATATTGGAATGTTTTGAATTGAATAGCATTAAATATCCTATGTCTCCTTTTTCTAAGCTATCTCCCCACTAATTTTGAACCTTATCCCTACAGCCGTTAAGTAATAAATAGTGTAACTAACACAACTTTCTTTTATATATATATAAAAGTATATATATATATATACATATATTTTTTATATGTCCTTTAATCCACGTATTATATTATATCAATTAAATACATAATTTATATTATATACTTATAAAATGAACGCAGTCGTGCGTCAAATACAATTCTCCGTCTCAACTCTCAAGGATTTTATTTGTTAATAAACATCGTTGGACTTTTTATTGTTCAATTTTAAAGCAATTATATAATAAGTCTTTGATAATAACTTTATGTATTCAATTTGTTAATAATAATAAAATTAACTGCATGGTAAGTAAGAAATAACTATATTTTGAAATACAAGAACTAATTGAAATGCTTTTTGTCTAACAAAGACCAAATAGATTTTAGCAAATTTGGTAGTTTTTCTATTAATATTGGATCTATCCTAAATCATAGATTAAGAATGTATTATATTTAACAACTTTATAACTAATAACATTTAAACAATTATCGTGATTTCACAATAATCTATCATAGTGACGTTTAATATTCAACTTTTTACGTCTACCCTCCAAAAAGTTTGCATAAATAATTAAGGTCTAATATTAAGTTTAAGTAGAAATAGCTAAAAAATTGTACTAAAATTTCAGGAGTACGTCTTCCTTATACTGCTATATGCAACCGTCTGTGGTGGCAATTCCGCACGTTTCCATTCTCTGACGATGAAATCACGTGCGTTTGGAAGACGGCGTTAACATTCGTGGACTCGGTCTGCGAGATCTGGGGTCCATTGTTACACGGCAGAACACTACTGATACTGTCTAAAGAAACTACAAGAGACCCACAGAAATTGGTTCGGGTTTTAACCGAGTACCAGGTATGGAAGAATTATATTAATGTAACTGTATTAAATTGTATCCGTCTTTTAATTATCTATTGATTTTAAATGAAACTCAATTTTTCGGATAATTATATATATATATATATATATATATATATATATATATATATATATATATATATATATAGTGTCGCAACCAGTGGCGGCTGGTGGGTTATCAAACTGGTGGTGCACTTTACTAAAATATTAAAAATAGAAAATGCAACCACACAACAATTCACACTAAATATGTTTATTTTTCTGAAGCAAAATGTTCAATCACCTTTTTATTAAAATCGGATATCGTTTGTATGATTATAATTAAAAAAAAATTTTTTTTTCAATACTACGCACAGAAAGTGCATTTAGCAAGTGCATGGTATTTCGGAGAAAAGTTTTGATTCTTTTCAATTCCAATTCGTCATACATCGGGTGCTCTCGGTAATCTTCGGTTCGCTCGTGCGGCGCTCGAGAACCGACTCATTACTCGGTACATTTCTATGAAGTATCTTTTGTTTCACGCGTCAGGCGTATTGATGCGTATTTCATACAAGATGTATTAGCAGTCCTCGTGCACTCGCCGAAGCGCACGAGATATTAGTTTAGTAAAGCGCTCAAACTTTTTGACCATAATTGGAAATTTTGTTTTTATACGTTTTTGTATGTTTAGAAAATAAATATTAAAATGGTAATTTAAAAATAAAGATGAAGTAATATTTTGTAATTTTTAAATCTTTTGAATTGGTGGTTCAGCGCACGAGTGCACTTAAGGTACAGCCGCCACTGGTCGCAACCGGAGGTTCCAGGTAAACTAATTATAAACTTAATATATGTATGTTATATGTATATTATAATAAGAACTACATATTAAAACTTATAACCTGTACCTAAGACTACATGATTGACCCGATGTTAGGATAGCAATACCATTCCATAGCTTGTGTGTATCAGTAATCTTCTGGTTCACACGGCTTGGAGTTCGTTCCGCGGAGTCAGCAGCGTCACTCGTTATATGATATCTTATCCATACAACGGTGTTGCCCCGGCAATGTTCATTTATTTTTTAATATGTAACTCGTGCGTAACAGGATTTCTACAAGAATTTGATTATTTTAAATAACTACATCGTTCTGACATAGCTGAAAAGTAACCAAACGTCGGGAGTATGTACTATATAGTAATCCGAACAATATTAGTTTCATTTAAAATGAATACTCCTGAAATTCTTAGATCTTATTCTATTAATTTTTATCCATAACCATATTATATGTTTCCTTTATTTTTAGATTAAACGTCTGGTACTCGTGCCGACGTTGCTTCGATCTATTCTATTGTACGTGTCTCTAAACCCATCGGAAAGATTACTACAGCATCTCAAGCTATGGGTCTGTTCTGGTGAGACCCTGAGCAAGGAGCTGGCTACTCAGTTCTTCCAATCTTTTGGAGATGAGAACGGCTATAAATTAGCCAATTTCTACGGCAGTACGGAGGTTATGGGTGATGTAACGTACTACATTTTGGAGCAGTCTGCCCAAGTGAATATGTTCCCATCCATACCGATAGGTAAGACTTAAATTTTTGTTGCTTTACTAAACAAAATTTATTTACCTTAAATCCAATATTTCACGTATCGTTCAATGAATGTATCTGAAATAACATATTGGTCTTATTTATCTAAAAACAATTCGAGAAGTTCATAGTAATAATGGAATTAGAAATTAATGAAGAAGCAAATGTATCATTTTTTTCCTTGGAAATATGTTTAGTAATAATAAATTTAGTACAAGAATATTTAAAGAAATCTCCACTATATTGCTGCAAAATATGCTCTAAAAATTAACTCAATGGACTACGAAAAAGTGTCTTTATCCAAACTTATCTTCCATAATGAATGAAAGATGATGAATTCGAAATTTTTATAGGTTTTGTCATAAAAAATCCTGTATTAAAATATATAAAGTACATGACAATACAAGTATGCATGCATGACGTCACCACATAATAAAACTGTTAAGATTTACTGCTTTATAAAGAATATCGATATAAAGATTGCGTATTGCGTTTAACAACTCAGTGGTGGCTTAGTGGTTAAAAACTCTCATGCATGAGGGCGCGGGTTCGATCCTGGCCCGGGCAAGTACCAATGTGATTTTTCCGAGTCATATGTACTTTCTAAGAGTATTTAGACATCACTGATGAATGCTGATTCCCAAAAGAAGGTTGATGTCAGGCAGGCGGCCGGTCGTAAAAACAAATAACCAAAACTATTCACAACATGTAAGGCAGACCCTGGCTATAGCTGGGAAAATTGCCAGTAGAAGAAGAAGATAATTGCGTTTATTATCTATTTTCAGTATGTAACGTGTTTTATCCCCAGGTTCTCCTTTAAACAACTGTCGTGTGTATATCCTGGATGAACATCGTAGCCCAGCTGACTCTGGGGAGCTCTGGGTCGCTGGCAGAAACCTGGCTGCAGGATACGTTGGTGTAGCTCATGACACACGCTTCGAAGACAATCCCCACGCGGCTCATCCTGGTAAAATATACTTAAAATTCCTATCTTCTTTCAGAGGGTCGTTGAACAATATAGTATAAGGAATCTTTAGAAGAGTGATGCTAATATGTAGAATGAAGAAGATTTTTCTGCAATATAATCATCAAAAGTATTGTGTTTTTTCTTCTTATTTCGTTAACTTTGTAAATATTACCTATTTAAAGTCTGTAATTATCTATATATTGGTCATATTATTGGTCAATTGTTTTTATAAACGGCGTTGTAAGTCATGAATGTAAATGTCTCTTAATTAATGGAATAGCTCTGTAAAAAATAATGTAAATGGAGAGTGCAACATGTAAACCTTTTTGACCATATTTCACAAACTATTGCTCTCTCTCTCACACACATACTCTGTCTCTCTCTAACTTTAGTTCTGTCGAAAAAAACGTTTTATCGTTTTTTTAAAACATTAAAATGTCTACCTTGCTTACATATATAAGTATTTATTAAGTATCTGCACTATTGTTTAATTCCACAACGTTTCCTATTGAAAACAAAAATATATGAATGCAATTTTAATATACATTTTCAATGACATATAAATTAACAGATTTCGCGCGCATTTACCGGACGGGTGACTTCGGGTATCTTCACAAAGGAGTTATATTGTACAGCGGCAGAACTGACTCCCAGGTCAAGATAAGAGGTCATAGAGTTGACCTGCAGGAGGTCGAAAGGGCTGTGACTGCTGTACAGGGAGTCGAGAAAGGTTAGTACATTATGATTATAATAAAACATAGTCCGTTTAACTTAACTAAGATACTTTCCTGTTTGTTTTTTTATGTTAATACACGCATTCTTGCGGTCAAAACAATTTTTTTTGGAAGTGCAATAATTATGTACTCTTCTTTATAGCATATCGTAACAATTAAATTATTTTAAATCATCTACCTTAAACAAAATATGAAGTGGTATATAAACAACACAAATGCTTTATTAAGGAATAAAATATTTTTTATTACATAGTTTATAATTATACATGGTAATGATATCTAAGACTCGCTACTACTCATTTAAATATAACAACTATTGTAGTTTCGACGCACTTCGCGTTTCTTAATTAATTTTAACTACATACTCCCTACGTTTCGGTTACTTTGAAAACCGTGATCACATAATAAATGGTATTCATTATTTAACCAGGGGTTGTGCTCTGTTACGGCCTCGCTAGTGGAAATCCAGAAATATTAGCCTTTGTAACCATAAAGCCAGATGCAAGACTCTCCAATCATCACATTGAAACTGCTCTTAAGAGTGCCCTTACCAGCTATATGATACCGCAAGTAAGTTTAATAATAATCTATTTACTTAGATTACTTATTTTCATTATAATTTAAGACCTTATTCATGTACTTTTATGTATTTAATGTCGGAAGCAATTTGTATATTATAGGTACATCCGTTTACAAATTGTTTCGGAATTTTATAAAAAATTTTATTATTTTATAATATTAGTAATGCATTTTATAATTTGGTCTACATTATTCTCGCGTTAGTTCGATTTTTACTACCTAACCTAACTTAATTCATTTCATACCAATTGCTTGCAACATTTATCTATTTTTTCATTCATATCATATCACATAGAATTAACTTAGTTTTAAGAATTAAATACACGTTGTAAAAGAACTAACATGTTCCAGAAATCTAGAAATAATATGGAGTAGAGAGTAAAACAATATATGTATATATCTTTTAAATAACATTTTCATAATTATTTATTCCAGGTCATTATAATCGATACAATACCATTACTAGTGAACGGGAAAGTTGATAGACAGGGATTATTGAAAATGTATGAAAACACAAATAATAACGGTAAGTGGAAAACAAACTATTAAAACTGAAAACAACATTAACCTTTGTTTATAATTATACAATCAAAAGGCATATTTAAATAGTTTTTTGGTTTTAATGCACATTTGCTATTGTATTTTTACTAAACATAATATAATTTACTACTTCCTTTTAAAAACTTTAAATCGTAATTAATTTATAGTCTGCAATCGGAAAACTTTGAATTCAGACCATCCCAAAAAAAAAACAATAATAGAATTGTTTCTTAAAGACACAAGACAAGATAAAAGAAATATAAGTATGGGAGCGTTCAAGTATTACGTAACGCAATTTTGGGGGAGGGGGGGGGGTCTCGTAAAACGTTACGATGCGTTACTGGGGCGGGAGGGGGTGTCTCGTACAAAACGTTACGTAGCATTGTTTCTAAAAAAAATATATTAATAAAAACCCCCAAACTGGCAACTCTTTTCATATACATTACATTACATTGTTGACCAGATTGTATTAGTCTGGTCGATATTGTTATTTGTTATTCCAAGTTTGCAAACCTCTTAATTCATAGATTGCATTGTAAGTCTTTTGATGAAATTGATCACTTGAGTGTTACGTAACGTTTTGAGAAGGGGGGGGGGGGCTACAGAAAAACGTTACTGTGCGTTACGACGGGGGAAGGGGGGGTCAAAAATCTTCGAAAATTGCGTTACGTAATACTTGAACGCTCCCTATGTAATATATAATATATTATTCTAGACGATGCTGAAATACCACTGGATATAGATTACTCCGGTGTTAGTCCTCAAGACTTAGAAGCGGCTAGGGTGCTCTTTGAAACTGTAGGCGAGGTACTGGGCAGGTCTGCTCGAGGAACTCTGTCAGTCAGAGCAAATTTCTATGAACTTGGAGGGAATTCACTAAACTCCATCTACACTATCACGAGGTTGAGGGATAAGGGATACTATATTGGTATGTTGGTATACAATTTATACGTTTTAAGACACAAATAGGTTACATTTATCTTAGAGCTATGAAAATCGTTATTAAATAAATAAAATAGAATGAATTTAATTGCTTTTATAACGTTGGCACTAAAAAATTCGTTTAAATGAAATTTAACATCAAAGATTGTGGTGTTGTATCAGCACGCCGCCGCACGCGTCCACACTTGGAACACTTGGAACGTGTCCACACTTTATTTATTTATACGGAAATTTGGTCAAAAATTAAGCACCTATTTTTTTGCATAATTCGAATGAGAATCATGTACCGAGTATTCTCCTTAAATATTGATAGTAATTCACCAGTCACCCTGTATATCATCCCAACTATGATCTTTCAATGGTAAATATTATCATTACGCTACATGTCTAGTAAAGGTTTCTTTTTTTATAGAAATCAGTGACTTCCTGGGAGCAGCTAACCTTAGAGAGGTTCTCTCACACCTGAACACGTCACCAGACACATCAGATGATTCAGAACACACCAAATATACGATCCAACCGATGAGGGACGAACACAAGGACCATGTGATTGAGTGAGTATTATATAAATACCATAAGTATGCTTAGCACAAGTTTTCATCCTCATACTATATATGTACTATATAGGATCGTACTAGAAAGTGTTAAGTTTCATGACTGTCAACGCTGTGTATTTAGTGTAACAATGCAAACTTGAGGTACGTATTCAGGGATACTCAGAATTTTGTTACTTTAACAAATATATATGTAAATAACTTAAATGGGATTTTACGTGTATTGTGAACAAAAATTACTTCGGAACAGACTAAAAACAAATCAATAATCACTAAAAAATATAACCATACTAGCTTTCCGCCCGCAGCTTCGCCCGCGTGGAGTTCGGTTATATCGCGTTTCCAAGAGAACCTTTCATGTCTGGGATAAAAACTATCCTGTGTTCTTTCTCAAGGTCAACTCCAACTCTGTACCAAATTTCATTAAAATCAGTTCAGTGGTTTAGGCGTGAAAGCGTAACAGACAGACAGACAGAGTTACTTTCACATTTATAATATTAGTAGGGATTTCCCATTTATTGTTGGATCATATTATTGACGTCGCCAGATATTATAAGCTGTGCAAAGCTATAACGTAAACATATTTTCTTCCAGAATGATAGTATCTTCGTTCTATGAGAAAGCGGAGTTGGAGCAGTTCGTCCGTGACCAAATCGCTCCGAGGGACTACGCCCTTTGTATCTCGGCTTGTTGGCACGCTCTTAGAGCCGCTGCTCTTAGTGTGGTGCTTGAAGACAGTGAGTTTATTCATCTCCTACTAGATACATTATAGAAGATACAGAAGCTTACTTACAGTGGTGGCCTAGTGGTTAAAAGGCCCGCCTCTCATGCATGAAGGCGCGGGTTCGATCCTGGCCCGGGCAAGTACCAATGTGATTTTTCCCAGTCATATGTACTTTCTAAGAGTATTTAGACATCACTGATTAATGAATCCCCAAAAAGAGGGTTGACATCAGGCAGTCGGGCCGGTCGTAAAAACAATTAGCCAAATCTATTCACAACCTGTAAGGCAGACCCTGGCTAAAGTTGGGGAATTACCAGGTAGAAGAAACTTACTCGTATTAAATTGATGACGTTTTCCTGACAGAATGCTACTGATTATTCAGTTAAGGATTGATCAGTTTCACTGACTTTGTCTTATATATTTTTCTATCTTCCAAGCTTTCTTCATTTATATCCTTTTTAAGGCCATTCTTTTTTTTTTGTACAACAAGAGCTGAATAGACGAATTGATTTCTAAGAAATTATTTGTTATTTTTTCCTTACATTACATAATAACTACAACAGTCACTGATCTAAAGACTGCTTTTACGGTATTATTTAAAGTCCTATAAGTGTGATGGTTATTGTAATCACAAATGATAATTTTCTTATAGAAAGCGGTACACCCATCGCTGTCGCTTTAAATTTCGACGCACGTGACGAACCTGAAATAGAATTAGGGGGAGGTTTGGCAAAAATCATGACATTCCTAGAATACGTTGAAGGTTCCGTGAGAGATACTATGCTGCCGGAGGGAAAAGGTAACATATTTATTATTCTTTAATCTTATTTAAACCGTATTATATGTCGAATTGTTTTTGCAGTTGTGAAGATTTCTAACTATATTTGTTTATTCTTAAACTCTTATAAAATAATCTAAATAATGTATAAAAGAAAGTTGATTACGTGTCTAAAGAAGTCCTAATTGTACTCACAGGTACAATTCTTCATTCATTCATGATGGCGACCGATGCAAACTTATCGGCAAGAGAAAATGTTGAAGCGATCCGCCTACTGGAGCATGGTACAGAGAAAATAGCGAGGGAAAGGAGGTTCAGAGGAATATTCACAACTAATACAAGTCCATTGACACAGGTTTGTATGGAACTTGATTATTTGTATCATTAGATCCTACTTATTATTGATGGCCATTTAGAATATTATTGATATTATTGGGTTCAGCGATAGTATTAGCCAGATCTACTATTGAAGCTGAAGAAGAGCTCTGAATGTCTGTTCCAGTGAATACTATAGTTACGATTGATCATTGACATTGCCACAAGTTGACAAAGTGTTTGTATTCACGGTGCGTGTGTCGGGTCCATCGTTGTAGTGAGAGGAGCTTCAACAGTGACTGGGACTTGCGACCCAGGTGGAGGTTTAAGGGACCCCTATGCAACGTTCATAAAACGCTCACCTCCACTGTCCAAGCTCCTCTCTCTTCCTAACCACATCTTAAACCCATATGAAGGAATAATTAATATGTTTTCAGCAACTCGGAAGGGATGTTCTTGGTTTTCAAACGCTCTTGGACTACCAAATAAATCAGTACATTGACCCCAACGGCGAGAGAATCTTCGGCAGAGCACCCGATGACATGAGAGCTATAGTTTGTTGGAAACCAGTAGATTGAAATATTAAAAGAAATAATTAACTATAGATAAAAAAAATATATTTAATCTATGGCACATAAATTTTTGTACAACTCACTCTTGACGTTTAATGTAGTCTTTGAAAAATTGGTGGTAGACAATAATTGTTGATTATTTTGTTGTATATTCATAGGAAATAGATATAAACCCACAAACATTTCAGAGTATTGTAATCATAAGATATATATGCTCTGAACAAATTGTTAATAATGAAATAATATACTCTCAATATGAACAAGAGATTTTAATTTTTATATACAGTACAAACTAGTTTAGTTAAACTAACATGTGATGTGTGATAAGTAAAAACTACTTTATATATATGTACATTAGAGAGCAAAATCCATTTGAATACAGATCCACCCAAAAATAACCATTATATAGTGTGTATTTTAAAGCTTAGACTATAATTCCTAGTTGTTAAAAACTTTTACTTTATATATTTAATAAATTAAATGTCTATGTAAAAATAATTGCAGACTACCTACTTCTCATGTATAGAAGTGATCTCTGTTTGCATATGTGATATTTATATTGAATGTATAGTTTTAATTATTATTATAATAAATAATGTTTTTAGGTAAATTTTGTTTTAATTTATAAAAACCCTTACATGTTTGTAAATAACTTTATTGACTAGAAAACATTGATATGTCTAAACTAAAACAACTTTATATTTGCTGAATAGACTATGATCATTACAATTAATATTCATATTAAAAAAAAACTATTTGTGTGACTAGAATATGTTTTCTTATATTTATTAACAATTCAACATTTATGACTAGTATACATGTATTATATATATTATGGACTATATATTTTGCATATATGATAATTTTAAAGCTATATTCCGGACTATAGAGCAAGTTTCATATATCAGAAACTAAAATTATATGGCGATTTCATTTCTTAAGTAGTTAGTAAGTAGATAGAGGAGTTAATTGTCAATTGATTAGTTTTTAATGTGTAACAACACCTCATTAAAGTAATATATTGTTAAGTACTTTAAGTGAAAGATAAGTAACTATATTATTGATAAATTTTCTCACCACAAATATACTACATAAGCATTTATATTTCTAACTCATACAAAATGAGTTCAAATATCTACCTTGTTATACTGTAAGCAACTTTGTTCTTTAATATTAACATTACATAGTCATAACATTTTTCATTTTGTCAGGGACAGTACAAATCCGCGTAACTAGCATTGGATAAGTCCGCGTATCTACATTGGAAGTGAAGTGGTATTTTAGTTATATACCACTTACGAATATATATTATATTAATATATATATATATGTTTTTCAATTTTTTTAGTTTTGAAATTTCGGCATACAATGACAACAAGTCAGTGGTGGCTCAGTGGTTAAAGGGCCCGCCTCTCGTTGCCGAGGGCGCGAGTTCGATCCTGGCCCGGGCAAGTACCAATGTGATTTTTCCGAATCATATGTACTTTCTAAGAATATTTAGACATCACTGATTAATGTTGATTCCCAAAAAGAGGGTTGATGTCAGGCATTCGGCCGGTCGTAAAAACAAGTAGCCAAAACCATTCACAACGTGTTAGGCAGACCCTGGCTATAGCTGGGAAAAATTGCCAGGTAGAAGAAGAATGACAACTTTAGATATTTATATAATCGTATGAAAAATTGTTTTCTTCTTTTTAATAATTATACGTCATCTGAAGTTACGCTGCTAGTATACTGGCCAGTATATTTGTTTCCAAAAAGTTTACTTATTTTTTATATTAAATTATTTGCTACAGAAGCATTATCAGAAGACAGTTTGAGCTGAAATATTACCTATATTAACGACTTTTAAGGTAATTTTTTCACAATTAGTAATTATTTAATGTTTAATTTATTACTGACTAGCTTTCCGCCCGCAGCTACGTCCGCGTGGAGTGCAGTTATATCGCGTTTCCAAGAGAACCTTTCAAAAGTCTGGGATAAAAACTATCCTATGTTCTTTCTCAAGGTCAACTCTATCTCTGTACCAAATTTCATTGAAATCAGTTCAGTGGTTTAGGCGTGAAAGCGTAACAGACGGACAGACAGAGTTACTTTCGCATTTATAATATTAGTAGGGATTGTGATAAAATTAAATTGAAAGTCATTAATATAGAAAATATTTCAGCTTAAACTTTCTTCTGTCAATCTACTTCCAATGTAGATACGTGGAATTATCCAATGCTAGTTACTCGGATTTGCACTATCCCGACGATATATATTAAATTATTATATGTCATAATTTAACAGAACCATGTTTTGACAGGCGGTTCATTGAGATTACCGTCTGACATTTCATGTCAAATCGGCCCTATACCGGATATCCCGTATTTAGCCAGTTCAGGAACAACTATGTCGTCTAAATCATTCTGCATTTTGGTAATAATATAATCTGTATCTGGTTTTATTGATATATAATCGTCTGTGCTGTCCGCGTAGTCTATAATCGGATTTCTTTCATACTCTGTAGCTATGTTAGCTTCGTTTAGTAATTTTAATGATTCTTCTAGTGAATGTGATCTTTTGTCGGGTGTTTTGTCTAGTTTTCTGTGATGTAGGGTTCCGTAGGGCGGTGGTTGAGGTCGATTGTAGCTGCCGGCTAAGTTTGTAGTCGATTTTGGACTATACGGCCGCGCTAGACTGCTGTTCGGACTAGAAATATAGTTAGTAAGAAATAAAGGCTAAGATGAATTATATAAATATGTTTATAATGAAAACTAAACATTATTTGTAATATACCACAAATATTTAGAAACATTGATAGACTATTTAGTTAGAAAAAAAGGGAAAGATGAAGTACATAAATATATGTATATGATGAAAACTAAATATTTTTTTTATAATTATGTAAGTATATTCCACTATTCGTACAAAGATATAACATTTACCTGATTCCTAAACTTTTAGTGCTGGTGTTGTCAGCTAATTGAGTTTGCTCGGTGTTGCCAGTACCATATTTGCATATTTCAACATTAGATGATTTGTGCGCTCTAAACAAAGAAATATATAAATTTAATTAAAAGTTTTTAAGTAAATTCGTCATGCATAAATCGTTATATTAAAAACACATAAGCCATAACTAGGTTTTTAAGTATTTTAAAGCGAGAGTTAGACTTTTATGCATTATATTGTTAGTAATATTATGTTTGTAATTAAATTTAAATGAGAAAATATACAATGACACGAGCACTGACGTCACTTATATTTTGAAGTTTAACTTTTAACCTAAATATTATCTTAACAATGCTTCTATGTTAGAAACATTATGACCGAACTTCATTATTAGTTATTTTAGTTCACAAATCATATTTTATTTAACCTTCTGTTTCTATAATCTTCACATATATGGTAAATGCCGTCTAAGAATAGATCTGATTCGGGATCTCTTCTGGAATCGTTGAAAAATTACATTTAAAATGAAATTTACATTATCCAAACAAAAAAACTAAAAAGATCTTATAATTTTTTATATTTATATTCCATGAGATTTTTTTTCTTTTATTTTCACGATAATTATACTAATGGCAAATTTATTGTGATATATAGTTGGATATTTTTGTTCAAATCATAGACATGAAATAATAAATGTTATATGTAGAAGTATAAAGAAAAAAATTAAAGAACATTGGCAAATATTATGCTTAGATAATAATTCATTAAACGAATATCAGTATAATCTAATAAGAATATATCTTTGTCTTGATATGTATAAAACTTACTAAAACAAGGACATATGTAATTTCCTTCTACCTGGCAATTTCCCAGCTCTAGCCAGGGTCTGCCTTACATGTTGTGAATAGTTTTGGCTATTTGTTTTTACGACTGGCCGCTTGCCTGACATCAACCCTCTTTTGGGAATCAGCATTAATTAGTGATGTCTAAATACTCTTAGAAAGTACATATGACTCGGAAAAATCACATTGGTACTTGCCAGGATAGAACTCGCGCCCTCATGCATGAGAGGCGGGTCTTTTAACCACTAGGCCACCACTCAAGGACATACTCGTATGTATATGTATATCATATTATAAATAAATTTTTTGATTAATACTTACATAGCAGCATAATGAAAGCACAGCACTCCAGTTAATGCTGCTATTGAAAGCAGCAGCAGAATCAATGGTCCCACAATAGCTGCTGTTAATTGTTTAGCGTAACTTCTAGTTGGTAAGGATTGTTTATTAGGCGCTGTCCACACTTGGCGACTTTCAGACCTAACCCGACTTATAGGCGACGGGATCTCTGTTAAATATTCTAAATGCTCCGTGGATTTTGGACCGTATATTGTGTTGTACTGAAATATTGTATATATGTTATGAATTAATATAAATAAAATAATTAATATAAATAGTTACTAATATTTTTCCGATTATACATGCGATTTTTTGTAAAAAAACTATATAATCCTGACGTTTAGGTTACTATTAGTACTTCGTTTACGTTCGTTTACTTTAAATTGTATAATCGGAAAAATATCAGTTTCATTTAAATCAGTTGAATATAGATAACATTTACATGTACATAATGAATCATATATTTCTTGGCCTGAATAATGTTATAGATAATATTTACATATGGCAACACAAAATCTCCGTCTATCTGCACTTATTATCTTTATATATATGTATAATTCTTCTGTGAGTGTGTATGTCACTGAACTTCTCTCAAACGACTAAACCGATTTTGATGAAATTTTTTGTGTGTGTTCAAGGGATCTGGGAATGGTTTAGATTCACAATTTTGTCCGCTGGACAATGCTTTTTTAATTAATTTTTAATTTATTAGTAGTTGTTGATACAAACTTTTTCTTTTACATTAGATTTGACAACTAACTAATATGTCAATCATTCTGTCGCACTTCAAAACACGGAGATTTATGGCTTACAGGTAAACTCTAAACATATAAATAAAAAATCGTAATAGATATTTCTTGATTATAGGGCGATACGAAGTTCGCCGGGTCTTCTAGTATATTATATAATGTTTTTATACCAGTTCAAAGTTGCACCAGTCTAGTGTGAACCCTGCGTCCCTGAAGAGTCGTTCAACAGTAGTTCTTTTATATTCCCTCGGACAACTGGGCAGTCTGCTGAGAGGACGTACCTCCTCTCTAAGACGCTTCATCTCTGATGAAAACGGATGAGAACTACCAAGACGTATCACTAGACTGAAATAAAGTTTAATATGCTAGGATAATACATATTTACGGCAGACCCTGGCTAAAGCTGGGAAATTGCCAGGAAGAAGAAGATGTTAGGATAATATTTACAGTAGAAACTCGATTAACCGGACTAATTGTTGTCGATAGTCATTCGGATAATCGAAAATCCGAATAACATGTACTTTTTTTTAATAAAATAGTATTTAGTTTATTAAAAAAAAGTACATGTATGTACCTACTAAAAACTGCAGATTTTAATCATGAATTAAAATAATAAGTTTAATTTGGTTTAGAATATATGGTAATGGTCATTTGACGTACGCCACTCTAAACAACACTGCTTTCTTACGCTATACCATTTTTTCTTATCCGGACTTGTCCGGATAATCGCGAATCCGTATAACTGAGGGCCGGATAATCGAGTTTCTACTGTAATTATGATTCATTTTCATGGATGATTCAATTATAAGGGTCATCTTATACCTAATGCACAAGATATAAATATCCTAAGATTTTACTCACGATTTTTTTCCTCTATAACAAAGCAACAAGAACATCATGAAACATGTACTTGATGTAAAATATAAGTACATCACATTAATAAAAATAGGTTGGTTATCTGAAGATATATATTGTCAGTTATTTAGTTATTTAGTTTATTGGAGAAAAAAACAGATCACAGGAGTATAATAAAAAAATATAAACAACAATACAGCATATTAAAGACAAAATACCTGTGTCCTTAAATATTTCTCACCAAGAAATATAACTAAGTAAAAATGAGAGGACGCTTGGGCATGTATCTCCACTAATAAATAAATTTGATAAAGCGATGTGTAAACCTAATCTAGGATGTGAAGGGAGCGATGGCGAATGTGCAGAGAATATTTAATACTTAAAACAAACTAGACTAAATTCTTAGTCAATGTAAATGAAAAACAGGACTAGTTATCTCATGTACAGTGGAAACTCGATTATCCGGCCCTCATTTATCCGGATTCGCGATTATCCGGACTACGGACAAGTCCGAATAAGAAAAAATGTAAAGCGTAAGAGAGTGATGTTGTTGAGAGTGGCGTACCTACGTCAAATGACAATTACACAAACATTCTATATTAAATGAAACTTATTATTTTAATTCATGATTAAAAATTGCAAATACATATTGTAATTTATTTTTTAAATAAACATATAATATTATGAACTACATAAGCACAAAACCGTCTTCTCTTCATACATTCGATTATCCGGATTTTCGATTATCCGGATGCCTAACGACAACAATTAGTCCGGTTAATCCAGTTTCTACTGTATGTCTTGTCAATGACAGATGAACAAGGAATTTAACAAAATTAAGTGCCTAATGATGTATTTCTTACATAGTAAATATATTTTCCTATATTTGTTATAGTATTTATTTATTTAACTCCATACTAACCCTTCTCCATCACTGGGCTTCAACGGCAACCGAGCTCCTAAATCTATAGCTGATGCAAGAAACGTTGGATACAGGTCCTCGCTGCTCTCAAACCATAACTTAGTACGGAGAATATCCTTCAGACGAGTCATTCTGGGAATTATTTGATAATATATCCATGAAATTAATAATATTCTTGTATATAAAATCATTAATATATGTGATATTTAATCTGTTTGTTACATTTGAACAGCAAAACTTGGTTATGAGGAATTAAATTTAATATAGAAACAGATAAGTATGCAGAAAAATATATTAAATTCTTGTATATCAATGGAATTAATAATATTATTGTATATAAATTTTTGCCATGGTACCAAATCCCTACTAATATTATAAATGCGAAAGTAACTCTTGTCTGTCTGTCGACTGTCTGTTACACTTTCACACCTAAACCACTGAACTGATTTTAATGAAATTTGGTACAGAGATAGAGTTGACCTTGAGAAAGAACATAGATTTTTAAAAGGTTCTCTTGGAAACGCGATATAACATGGAACTCCACGCGGGCGAAGCTGCGGGTTGAAAGCTAGTCATTATTATATATGATATTAAATCTATTTCTCACATAATTAATGCAAATTAAATCAAGCATAAAAACACATAAGACTGCAAAAAATAAACGATATATTTGAAGTAACTGATTAATATGTCAAAAGCCAAGCTATATAATATATACCTATGTTCATCAAGTAGATCTTCAACATTGAGGTTGTCTATCTTGAACTCGACCTCGTGGCGCGCCATCTTCTCCTTAGGAGTAACCTTCAGGGTTAGCAGCACCCGACGGGTTTCATAATCCTGACGGTTCAACCCTATCACTTCTAACTGTAAACGGAAATTAATAACCATGAAATAGATTCCTTTATAATAAACTATGAAGTATTTTATTCCAAAAAAATGTAAGGAGATATTTTAAATGAAACTAAGTTCTGATATTATAAGCGGTTGGAATTGCTAAACATTCACTTGTGGGGTGTAGGGTACACCTGGATAACGGTCGCGTCGTCACGATAGGGTTTTAGAAATCATACGAGAAGCGGTTAGTCTTTGCGTAGTCAGAGCGCAAAAAGAAATAACCACAAACGAGCGACCAATAGGTTTTGTGTGTGAAGGCACTAGGGCTATAAAATCAAATGTCAAGCCTTACTCCATCCTTAAAGCGGCTTCGGATTGGTCTATAAAAATGAACACGTATGAAAAACAATACAAAATCCCGTAGGATTTTTGTTTGTCGGCGTCCAGACCAGATTTAAATTCACGAGTTTTACACCGCTTTGTTCTAGAACTTGGAAAACCAATAGCCCCAAAGACAATGCCATTAAAGTCAATAAGCATTACGAGCTCATTAGGAAGAAGTTTATTGTAAATTTGTTCCAGTAGGACCATTTATTGTGTATTTGTTGGTACAAAGAGCGTGGGAGCGAGAGGTATAACAGCCAAACCTCACTACAATCTACTAAAAGACTTGGGTATGTCCAAAACTAACATGAATTCATTCTTGGAACGTACGTCGAAGATTTAATAGGTACGTTTCAAATTTGATTAGGTATAGAGAGGAGCTTGGACCAGTGGCGGGGCAAGACCTAAATTTGATGTGGGCAAGACAGATTCCGCGAGGCCCTATTCTATGGCAACCTGAAGCTCTTATTACCTGCTAGTTTTAAAAACTTAAACGGAGATACGTTTTTTACCCTTAAATCTTTGGTTTCCTTCAAAAGATATTATAAAGCTTATTTTGTATACAAGTAATTACTGCGTTACATACTTATTATCAATTAAATATTTCTTACTTTATGTAAAATAGACGAGTACAGGTACCGGTGTAATTACAAATCACAAAGAAAACAAAAACAAAAAACGTCATTGTTTTCGAGGGCAATCAATATACTTAAACACTATCTATTTATTCGCTAAATATTATTATTATACTCTATTCTTATTAAAATAGGTTTAATTAATTCTGATTCCCAAAGAGCTTTGATGTCAGGCAGGCGACCAGTCGTAAAAACAAATAGCCAAAACTAATCACAACATGTAGGGCAGACCAGGGTCTGCCTTACATGTTCCTGGCAATTTCCCAGCTATAGCCAGGGCTATAGCTGGGAAATTGCCAGGAAGAAGAAGAAGAACAAGACTTTTTTTAATTCTCGCTTTAATATTTTTTGAGGCGCGAGGCCCCTTGTACCGCGAGGCCGTAGGCGGTTGCCCACGTCGCCCACGCCTTACGCCGCCACTGGCTTGGACGGTGGAGATTAGCGGTTAACGCATTAGATAAGAGTCCCTTAAACCTACACCTGGGTCGCAAGTCCCAGTCACTGTTGAAGCTCCTCACTACAACGATGGACCCGACACACGCACCGTGAACACATTGAATGATGAGAAGTTTCGTCTCATTATATCTTCCTACTCTGAACGTTTAAGTTCCTTTTCAGCAACAGTTATTAAGGGCGGATGATGAAATTATCAGTCAATAGACAGGATTATGTACTTACATACTAATAAACAACGCGTATTATCAGAAAAAACTTAAGTTTCATTTAAATGAATACTTTTCTCATCAGCGTCATTCAAATTTAACAATATAATACCAATACTATGATGTTTATAATTATTATCCGATTGTTACTTATATTACAGAAATCTTCAGGTTAAAAAATTACATTATCTAGAAAATAACAAATATACACATAAAATTAATAATTATATAAAACACTATAATTAGGTATAGAAAACACATAATAGGTATTTTTATAGATCAATCTCAATCAGTATCATGAAGTATTTTCCTAAAATTTACACCCTGTAATGATATCTAAGACTTTCGCGAGTATTCATTTAAATTAAACTAATATTTTTCGTTTATACAACGCGGTTTATTTTTGTGAAAAACTATATACACCCGACGTTTCGGCTACTTTTCAGCAACCGTAATCACGGGCAGACGAGATGTGAATGTCTATCAGTTGTTTTTTTCATTTAGTTTTTCACAAAATATATCCGAAAAATATTAGTTTCACTGAAATGTATACACCAATATACAAGCTACCATAAAGAATATACAAAAATAACCATAGACTATAACTTATCCCTACTAATATTATAAATGCGAAAGTAACTCTATCTGTCTGTTACGCTTTCACGCCTAAACCACTGAACTGATTTCAATGAAATTTGGTACAGACATAGAGTTGACCTTGAGAAAGAACATAGGATAGTTTTTATCACAAACTTTTGAAAGGTTCTCTTGGAAACGCGATATAACCGAACTCCACGCGGGCGAAGCTGCGGGCGGAAGGCTAGTTTTATAATAATTACCGTAATAGGAGATTCAGTGTTTCGTGGCGGAGTACCAAAAATGAATCCCGAGTGATGTCTCCCGCTGTAGATATAACGAAGCCACATCGGTAACTCAGGTTTACCGATCAAAGACGCGTGGAAACGGTACTGCTGATCAAACTCTATAATAAAAATACATTTATATGAAGTTTCAAACATTAAATAAGTTTAATTTCATTATAATATTATATATCAAAGTTTCAATGCGATTTTTTTCAATAGTTTATGCTTACATCGATTTCATTTGGAGTAATAAATATTAATCATTGTAGAAAATAATGTTGTATAGCGAAGGGCTAGATAATTAATAATATTTTTATATAATTTTAGTTTAGTTATAAATTATAATATATAAAAAATATAATGAAAATATTTTTAACAAAGCATACGAAAATCTTTATTAGAATGTTAATTTAATCCATACATCATTAAATATATTTACGTGCTTATATATTATAAATTAATCATTATAACAGTTATTTGAGAAACAATTCCTATACACAACAATTTTGATTTTAAAATTGGTTCTACAAAATTATACAATTATGTATTTCTTATATTCAGAATATCCTATTGTAAATATCAAAACAATATCCCGTATTATTTATAATTTATTTATATATCTTGGCCTCAGAGTAATGTTATGATAATAATTTATAATTATTATTAAAACTTACCTTGATAAGTCCAGTTGAATAAATTAGGACTGATGGGTATAGAAAACATTTCAGTTTCGACAGCATTATAAACATGACAGACAACCGCTCTCATAAATATCAACCAAAGCAACGGTTGTAACATCTGTATAATTAAAAATAGAATTAAATTAAATAAACATTAATATAACAAGTTATTTGTTAATGAAATTTGCATATATGAATAAACTTATTCACCATTTTATTCATTTCCCCGAAGTCTTTCAATCGATTTCCATTCTAAACCAGTATACGCCAAATGGTTCCTTTCAAAATACTGTGCACATGTGCAAAAGATATTCCGGCACGCCCCACAGGGATGTATTAACTGGACAATAATTTATTTTATATATAATAAACTCAAAAATTAAATCATTAAAATAATTTAACGGAAACGAAAATTTTAATATATTTTTATATTATATGTAATTATCGAAATGAATCACAATAATGTGAATGAGAATTTCAAAATAAAACTATAAGATTACGCAAACGCGACAAACTTGATTTATAAAAGTCGTTATTTACGCGCGTATTTGAGTATTTATATTTTTACTTCCTAGTTATTTACGTTTTAGATATAAATAAGCAAGTACGTCCCTGAAAACAGGGCGTGACGTAAACTGACGATCGACGTCATTGGGTAACTACAGAGACCGCGTTATCGAAAATTGCGTTTCGTTTCACGAAAATAAATTACAAGTTTGATAAAATATAACTTTCTAGTGAATGAAAATAACTGAAACTCTATTGAAAAAAATATAATTCAATTAAAATTTTTAGTATAAAATGTATCTATGTAAAATAAGCGACATCAAAATTGAATAATCTTTTTTAAATGATTCAACAAGGAACGTGTAGTTTACGGCACGTACATAAAACATAACGTCATTCATTCATTTACAAAATATGTCAGATGCTGAAAGGGCGAGGAGGGCGATTTTGCGATATCGCATAAAATTGTTTTAATATATAATTATTGTAACCACAATAATGTTATCAGTGGTGCTTCGTGATAGGGCGTACGCACGCCGAATCCGCCCAGTTTTACGAATATAAAACAGCTTTTCAATCTTTTTTGTTTAAGCTATATTGTTTTCACTACGTTTTCGGGATGTTGAAATTCAAAAAAATGGGTTCCGATAAAGTGCCGTTGTTATTGGTGACTGCTAACGTCGGATCAGTGTTTGAGGACGTGAGTACTTTTTTATTTCATAATATTTGCTACAATATATTTCAAGTTGGCATAATGAGTGTCAATCTACATCTTTTTAATTAATTTGTTGCGCATGTCACACTGTTCTAATTTTGAAACAAGTGTTTTACATGTCAGTGCACGCAGATTGCCATTAGTCACACTCAATTGAAGAATTAATATTTTAATTAAACATGTTGGTAGTTTGGTACTATTCCTGGATAAGGCTTTAAAAATCCAATTCAACAGAACCATAAATTAATTGAACATTTACTACAATGAATAATTAAAATATTGTCTAATTCTAATTACACAATATAAATGTATCAATTCCAACAGTAGTTTTCATTAACAATTCTTGTTAAGCTTTAAACATTTCTGTTTTGCAATAAAGAATATTATAGTCATTAGTTTGGTATTCTAAAGTTAATTATAATAATGTAATTATTCTTTAATTGTACTTAACGAACAACTATTTTGAAAATAAATTAATGTAAATTGCCATACCAATAAATAGATAATATTTGATTGCCTAACCATTCTTCTATTCTTAAACTTGATATATTCTGTAGTTTTTTTAATTTGTTTACACTTTAATATTTTTTATTATCATTTTTATAATTTAATAGTAGTTACTATTGAATGCGGAAATCATAATGACCCGCAGAATCTGGTATGCTGATACAAATCACAAAAACAGGAAAACGACTCGTACATAATTGACAGAGAATAAAAAATTGTATATATATAGCATGATTTACCTGTTATTTGTTTATTCACACTTTGTTATAATAAAATCTACAAATATTTCATAGATATCTTTGAAAGGAATAATAAAATTTTTGTTATTCTAGTAATTAATAGAATTTTATCCAAAATATTCAACGGCCATTCAATAACAGATGCTTACTTATTGATTTATTAATCTTCTTCTTCTTGGCAATTTCCCAGCCTTAGCCAGGGTCTGCCTTACATGTAAATAGTTTTTGGTTAATTGTTTTTACGAACGGCTGCCTGCCTGACATCAACCCTCTTTGGGAGTGCATTAATCATTATTTATTTATTAATATAACTAGGTTTTGTACATCATTTTTTCTTGTAATTTTTTATTTTAATAAATTGCATTACTACGTAATATTTATTTAATATAACATTTCAATGACAAACTTAAACAATAGCAGGAAATTTCCTGTTTATATCCTATAAAACAGTTAACAATGAATATTAAATTGAAAAGCTTTTTTATGTAACTAAAATATTATATATGTATATAATTTAATTAAATAGTATTCTGTATGTATAAGTTATATTACTGGTCATTCTTATTTCTAGTCGGTAGAATCTTCATACTGTTTCTTAAGTTAGAAATATAGATTTTTGTAAGAACTCAATATCATATTTCTGCACTACATTAAGGCTTAAAATTTTGTATACCCATTACATAGATTCCAACCATATGTTAATAGCTTAGTCAGTAAAACAATTGGAATGCTCTATACCAGATATGGAGTTTGAAATCCTACTCGTCTTCATGAATTTCTCATTCTATATATAGTATTGAAATTGTTTATTTTAATATTAAAACATATTGTGATATACTAAGTCAGTGGTGGCCTAGTGGTTAAAGGCCCGCCTCTCGTGTAGTAAGGCGCGGGTTCGATCCTGGCAAGTACCACTGTGATTTTTCCAAGTCATACATACTTTCTAAGAGACACCACTGATAAGACGGTAAAGGAAAACATCGTGAGGAAACCTGGACTTATAATGTCACAATTATAAGTTTGAAATCACCAACCACGTCTTGAGCAATAGTGGTGATTAATGCTCTAACCTTCCCCATGTGAGAAAGAGGCCTTTGCTCAGCCGTGGGCTCTGATAGGCTGATGACGACGACGACTAAGTACGTTAGCGATATATTTTATATCAAATAATTTTGCCACAAGAATGTTTACATCTGGTTGAAAGAAGCGTTTGCTTATTTTTCTTGATATGAAACTTATCGTATTTATTTATATTAAAACCAATATGTTTAAGCTAATTCCGTACTAACCGTAAATGTTGTGTTTTTCCGTATAAATTGTAATAATTAAATTCCGTTTTGGTTTCCAACAAATGCGGTCAATACTTCGTGGAATTAATGGATTGGTACAAATTAATGGAATTAGTGGTATGTAGGGGAAAACCGGAAATCCTTTTAAGTCATTACGAAAACATAAAAATGCTTTTGAACGCAAATATTTGTTTATAAGGTTGTATGACTTCAAATACTGTTTGAATATTGTAAGTCAAACTACGTGTGATGTTTTTGATTACAACAGATATTTATTAAATTCCATACATTTAAAAAATATTATATTTTCATAAGTTAATATAGTATAATGTTCTTATATCGTTTTCGTGTATAGTTTATATATTATGTTCTAACGATCTTCATTAGACCTACAAATAAATACTATGGAGGAACATTTTCTTAGAATTTAAAATTTAAAATTAATCCAATTATTTCCTTCATACATAGTCAGTGGTGGCCTAGTGGTTAAAAGGCCCGTCTCTCATGCATGAGGGCACGGGTTCGATCCTGGCCCTGGCAAGTACCAATGTGATTTGTCCGAGTAATATTTACTTTCTAAGAGTATTTAGACGTCACTGATTAATTCTGATTCCCAAAGAGGGTTGATGTCAGGCAGGCGGCCGGTCGTTAAAATAAATAGCAAAAACTATTCACAACATGTAAGGCAGACCCTGGCTATAGCTGGGAATTTGCCAGGTAGAAGAAGATTTCCTTCATACATATTCGTTTTCAATTTAAATATTATAAAAGCTAATATAGTATATCGTAAACGATGTGTAAATAAAGGGAAGGTAGTCCCTATATTTTGAATAATATTATAATCTTAATATATTTTTACGTAAAATCACAAATAAATAAACTTCTAGAAATATTGAGCCTATAATACATACAATATCTTCAAGAAGCAATAGAATTCAAGTTAGGGTAGTTAATGGCTATCATTTCAATAGCTTGAACTTTAAATGCTTTTTTACAGCCATCAGTAATGCTTCCAATATGGACATCGGAGTTTCTTCAAGCTGTTTCGAGGATGGATCCAAAGTTCATAGCTCTTCATCTTCAAGAAGTCGGCGGGAAAACTTACGAGAAATCAATGCAATATGTCAAAGATTTCGTTCAGAGGCTATGTGACTGCCCCGAGTTGAGACTATTCGATAAGATCAGGATGTATCTCGATGAAGACTTCAGTTCATCTGAGAAATTCACGGTAAGCTATTTATTTATGTTTTTAGGGTTCCGCATTGAAGTCAGAAAACCGTACTTTAATATTGAGACTGTTGTCGATCCTTCAACTACCAGACTGTATCAGGAACGATAGATACACAATTGAATTTATTATTGATATAAAATAAAATTCATATTAATAAGCTCCTATACAATGACATGCTTTTTGCTAGTTTTTACATATAATGAACCTCTTTCGAGAAAACGTCTCGCACTTGACCAAGATTATTTAAGACCTATATAATATAATAAATAATATACTTTGTCTAGCAATATACATATAAACAATATCTTTGCTATTGAATAATAATAGTCTAAATAGTATGACTTAATTTAGATAATAATGAGATTAGAAAAACATGTAGGTATACATACATATATAAATCAATTTAAATTGAAAGAATTTAACTTTTATGTTAGTGTTAGTTTTTAAATTTGTTTCCCAATAATGTTACATTTGGAGACGTTTAAATACAACATATTTTTACATAAACCCATGGTCATTGGCGTTCGTCTATTTTTATATTCTATTGGTAGACTGCTCGTCTTCAAGAAACGTCTTAATTTTAAACATTTTTCTTTCGTTGTATTGAAAAATATCTTCTGAATTCCTATTACGATTACAGTTTAATGTAATAGTTTAAATTTAAACTAAATGAAGACTTATCATAGTTATTTGCTTTAAATTAAATTTAAATTTATTAACGTATTAGGACAAACTCATATGTAATCACTAATCAGTAACTTTTTCGTAACTAAAATCATTATTAATTTTTAACTGACGATTTCATTAAGGGAATTCTGTGTTGTATTCTACATATATCCAATTTAAATAGATAATTACATTTATATAACAAGTCTTATTATACTACATTAATATGGAAAAGAATTAGGGATATATTTTAGTCTTGATGTCATAAATTTCTGTAAGAAAGCGTTTATTTTCTCTAAGCATAGTATTCATGTTCGTGGTACGAATTGAACCCTATATATATACATAACAAACTATATATAATTATTAAAGATTACATATATCTTTAAAGATAATTTCTAATACTAAAGTTAGAACCTACCTTTATAATTATAATACATACGCAAGTGACATAGATTTCAAACAAAAGCTAACGTACGGCATAATATAGTCATGAATTGTGATGTAATGCGACATGCGTGACGTCATTACGAGGCTGCCCTCGTTTGATGACGTCACTAACGTATTTTGCAAGCCTCTGTGATGCTAATAGCATTTCCTTGACAGAGTTCCGCACGTGTTAGAGCGTAGTGAAAAATCGATTTCTACGATCCCATAAATATTATAAATGCGAAAATTTTGTGAGGATGTTTGTTTGTCTGTTACGAACAAAGTAATTAACTGATTTTAATGAAATTTAACAGCAGTGTAGTGTATGACATCAAAATGCGACATCCCTATAATATTATAAATGCGAAAGTAACTCTGTCTGTCTGTTACGCTTTCACGCCTAAACCACTGAACTGATTTTAATGAAATTCGGTACAGAGATGGAGTTGACTTTGAGAAAGAACATAAGATAGTTTTTATCCCAGACTTTTGAAAGGTTCTCTTGGAAACGCGATATAACCGAACTCCACCCGGGCAAAGCTGCGGGCGGAAAGCTATTAGGCTATAATTTAGGCCTTCATTTCGTATATTTCGAGTAGAACCACGACATAACACATGTATATGATATGATGCCTCATTTTGGATTTGTTCATGCGGACGATGTCGCGGGCAAAAACTAGTGCACATTATATAGTACCTAAAACTATTGAAATTCGACTTTGCCTTGGTGACGGTTAATATATAAAAATTTTAATACAAATCGAGTTTTCCCGTACAATTTCGTGGAATGTGGAAATAGTATAGCATAAGACAGATATGGTGAAGTGACGTGAATCAATACATACGACCAGCCTTTAAAGGATTCGTGTTAATTATAACAACGCCTTATATTATTGTGTGAATTTACAATAACAACCTTATTACTGTATGATTAAGGCACGTTTTTCTTTATATATATAGGTTTTTTTATTTTCAAGCCACATTACTTGTGAATGGTAATTGATAATGATGCTATCAAGGAACTCACGTAATTTCATTTTACATGAATTAAATGGTACAGCGTTTTAATGGGACTAGTTTTAGTATAAAAATACCGCGACTTTGTCCGTTTTTTTGATGTATTGTATTTGTAAGACAACATCTTTATACATTTTAACATAACTTTGTTTTTTTGGAAACATTATTTTTTTATAAGTCAATACAAAATATCTAACAAACCAGTATTATTTTTTGTGATAGATGTAAAAAAATAGGAGAAGGTTGTATTAATATTTCGGATAATTAAATCGGGATGAATAGAAACTTGTCGTATTTTGGGAATTTAAGAAAAAAAATAGTTATTTAAGCCTAATAATTTACCCAATCTTTGTATAGAAATTCAGAAAGAGTAGTTTTTTTTCATATTTAAAGAAAATGATTCTATCCCAGGTCACTGTACATTAATACCTTCATCTTTCTTATATTAAATACTCAATATTTTAGCTTCCATTATGTATGTATAACAAAAAAAATTTGCATAACCCACTTTAAACTAGAGAATCTCGTTTGAAATTACATAACATTAAATGTACCAATAATACACATTTAAAACCAGAAAAATAATTATTAATTAAGTGACAGGAAAACTAAAAGTCCCATATATGTAATATGTGGGTAATATTTAAAAAGGTTCAGTGGGTAATATTAAAAACTTATCAACCCATAGAAGAGATAACAATAACGATATATTAATAGCCTCTTGAATTTACAGCTTATTACATGACGCACGTTGCATTGTGATAAAGTTTATATAAAATTAATTGCTAGATCGATTTTCATGCAACTTTTCCTGCTACGTAATGATTTTGGTATCATTCGTTTTGGATTTTTCTCTGCATAAATCCGACGCCAGTCTTCTACAGTTTTAGTCGAGTACAAATCTAATATTCATGGAGTATTGATTTCTTCTCGAGGCCCAAATATAGAGTTTATTTAAAAGCGCTCTCCGAAATAGACGTTGCTTACATATTAGACAGGTCCCGGTTCGATTATTTTGCATTATAGTCTTTTTAACATATAATTTGTATATTCGTAAAATAGATTTATTATTTAACTGATTCGACATCTATTTTTCGTTACATTTGTCTGTAAATTAAATACTATTGTACTTATATATTTTATTTTATAATAATCCATATCATTTGTACAATTATTTGTTCATAACAAAGCATTTGTAACATGATTCTCAGATCAGAAATATAAATCGGTCAAGTGCGAGTCCGACTAGCGGATATTAGGTTCCGTACCGTTAACTATAAAAACGTTAAAATAATGTATTGTATGGAAGCTCCCAATAAATAAAAAACAAAAAGCAACTGAAATACAATATCTATAAAAAAATTCTAATACCTCATTATTACAGTTTAAGTCCGGTAGTAAACGAATAGATGGAGTCTTAGTAATACAGTCCCGTTGTCGGTTTCGATTTAAAAAAGTTTATTTCCAAAAAGAACAAAGTTCGCTTACAAAGGAAATTTTAAAAAATTATAACTGCTATATATAATATTACAAATAATAAACAGTAGTGATATTAAACAAGATCAGTAAAATCATCTAATGTATGGGTTCTTAATCGTTTTTTAAAAATACTTAGAGATTTTGAATTTACAATACTTAGAGGCAAAGAGTTATACAGTTAGTACGTGAAATTCTAATAAAATAATTTTAAACCAACCAAATATCTAACCGCAAATAAATTTTACCAGGCCCTAGGCAATATGTACTTCGCTCATTCCACACTAACCGATCTCAAGATTTGGGATTTCGACTTGAAGACGTACGTGGATGTTGTCGGAAAAGAGGTATACAACGGTAACATAGAAAAAGTGCCCACCAAAGAAAAGGCGAAGTTTCCACAGCAGTTTTTCCCTGAGGTAAGTTGACTGACGCTCATATAGGATGTACGATATTGCCATAAAACTATGAATTGATAAAAGAATGGTAAATTTATAGTAGTGGTACTATTATTTGTATAAGTTCAAAATTTGTTTATGTTATTATTATAAATAAATTATTATTAAATATACATACAAAACGATTTATGCCATATATTGTCTTAAGGTGTACAATAAGATTTGTACTAAAGATAAAAATAAAATGAAATTTTAGATTTGAGCAATTATCACATCTCATTTCAATTCCAGCGATAATACTATGACAATTACATTCCATTGCATTTCAATATACAAAAATAATTATCCCATATGTTGGAATTACATGTAAAAGATTTGTACCTGAAATTTAAATTTACATTTAAGCAATTATAAAATGTCATAATTTCAATTCCAGCGATAATCCTATCTCAATAACATTCCATTCCAATTCCATATAATTCCAGTGTAAGTGGTCTCGCAAGGGTTTCCTTAGAACTCGTTGGTCCATAAGAGGAACAGCCGTAGAATTCATCAACATTCACTTATTCCACGACGCATCAAACTTACTGGCCATGGAACCGTTTCCATCTGTGAGTAAATTTAATTATTATATGTAAATAAATGTTTTATAACGTACTAGCTGCGCTCCGCGGTGTTACCCACGGATTTCCGGGATGTAAAGTAGTCTATATGTTATTCCTGGACGTCAGCTTCCTGTATATAAAATTTCACTAAAATCTGTTCAGCCGTTTGAGCGTGAAGAAGTAACAAACATACACACACACTCACAAACTTTCGCAATTATAATATGAGTAGGATATAAGGACCAATCGTGCTGAAGCCAACGACCAAACCATGACTTAACTTTTTTGGTATAAACTAGTGTTGTTTACCAAATTTATCTTGTTTCGTTGGCTACATCTTCCTTGTATTTCCAGGTGTATTGTCGTAGTCGTCGCCGCGCCCTCCGCCACACTCTCCGTCATCTTCACTCCGACGTGAACGCGGCTCCGTACTTCATTTTCGGTGACTTCAACTTCAGAACTGACACCGGCGGAGTCGTGAAGGTGAAGTGAAGTTTGCAACTTACAGCCTTTAATATTAAGTTCATATTTGTGTGATCAGATTAAGTGCAACGGTATTCGATCTCCTATGTTTATCTTATTAATATATACAAAATTTATGTGTGACTATTGATAGTTAAATTGTTTTCTGCTTTCGTTATTATAAGTTAATGATATCAAAGTATTTCCAGTTTTCCGGATACTACCCGTTTTTTATTATTTTACATCTACACAATCGTTTCAGTTTCTTTACAGCAATGTGATCACAAAGACAAGATGAAATTTTATATTAATTTCATCATCATCATCAAAATAATAAAAAACGGATACTATATCCGAAAATTTAACTTTTATTACTTATGTAGACTATTTATTTCTTTATATTCTTCTCTATATAGAAAGTAACAGAAGATTTGCACGCCTGCCGTCTTCAAAACTCCAATAACGTAGAATCTTCCAAGCTTCAGTATCTTAAAGAAGATCGTGTGGTGCTTACCGTCGGCAAGAAAGAGTTCGCTCATGTAGACCATCAGAAAGTGTTCAGGGAACCTTGGGTAAGTAAATAAATATATAATAATAATAATAAATTTTATTGGTTAAAAGATCACTCTACTACAAAACAAACAACAAAATAAAAACAGAGTAACAATTATCACATGTATACAAAAAAAGGAAAATAACATAACATAACAACTACAACAGGACAAATATTAAGTTAAAAATCAATAATAACAATAATAAGTGTGCAGCAGCGTAATTTAACCAAAAGGAGAACTCAGTAAAAAGTTGAAGCAATGTTGCTTCTACACTGATTTTCAGTGATCTCCTAATGTTGCAATACATAATACGACCTTAAGAAACTGTAAACGAATACCTTATTAGAGAATAATATATGCCTTAATAGTCCAGTCATTTAGTGTAAAAAAGGGGGCTACTTGCAAAGTTTTCCGGGAGTTTTGAAAATTGGTGCTATTATAGATTCAGTATTGAAAAAATGGCGACTAAAAATTGTTTTTACGGGAATATCTCCGATGTTGCAATTGGAAAAGAGCTTCCCGTAATCTATAATACCACAATTTTTTAAAACTACCGGAATTTTTTAAGTCAAAACTACTAAATGACTGGACTATAAAGATAATTAATCTCGATAAAGCTATAAGTTGAATAGATTTTAATAATATATGTATTTTATTTGGATGCTTTACTTATAATAAAATTCATTATATGACCATAAGAAACTGTACACAAATACATTATTAGCTATGGCTTAGAGAATGTTAAATGCCTTAAAGCTCGATAAAGCTATAAGCAGAAGAGATTTTAGTAATATTTGTATATAAAAAAAACTATGAGCCTTATTCTGAAATCCTAATATACATAATTAGAGATTTGTCTGTTAGATAAAATCAAATTAGTAATTTCATATATTTAATATTATTATTTATTATCAGCGCCATCTATCGTTAAATAGATATCATATTTCATAAGATAGTAATTTAAAGTAGATTTTAATTTATAAATGTGTTTTTCAGTTACAAAAATACGATCGCGAGTTGGAAGCACTACGTCCTCATTTATTCGAGTTTCCTGTAAAATTCCCGCCAAGCTATCCCTTCGAAGAAGATATACATTTACCAACACATTATATGAAAACTAGGTAATAAAAAAATGTTATATATGATTCTATATTAGGTATATACTTTATTTTAATTTTGTGCCAAGAACAAACATAAAAAAGGTTATGTTTAAAAAGGTTTTATGATTGTGAATTATTCAAATTTAGAACACTGTAAGGGATTTATTTGACTTAACAATTAATATAGTGCGCGAGGCATAAGCTGAGCTTAGTATTTGTGTGAGTTTACACGCATAGTGTAGGTGTTATTTCAAATTTTTGAATGCTACGTTCTTTTCTAGGTTTAAACCGGTTTAAACTACTTTTACTTCACTCCACATTTTAAGCTCTTCACCCTTTGTACTGGTAGCAACGTTAAATGTTGAAAACTTTTTCAAGTTTTGCTTTTTTATTTTTAACTAGAAGACCCGGCGAACTCCGTATCGCCCTATAATCAAGAAATATCTGTTACGTTTTTTTATTTATATTTTTGGAGTTTACCTATTAAAGCCATATCTCCGTGTTTTGAAGTGCGACAGAATTATTGACATATTAGTTAGTTGTCAAATCTAATGTCAAAAAAAAACCGTTTGTATCAACAACTACTAATAAATTAAAAATTAATTAAAAAACATTATCAAACTCGAACACACACAAAAAATTTCATCAAAATCGGTCCAGTCGTTTGAGAGAAGTTCAGTGACATACACAGTCACAGAAGAATTATATATATTAAGATTTGTTATTTATCAGATGTCCATCGTGGTGTGACCGTGTACTGCTGTCTCCGTCAGCAAGAATTCTGGTGCAGCATGATAGAGACAAACACCTGCATACCTCCAGGTATTTAATGAATACAGGAACTATAGTATATAGTTACTATATACTATAGTATATAGTTCAGAAGATATATCTTAATATACTGTTATATGAACCACTTATAAAAAGTCCGATAATTCAATTTTATATACTAACTAGCTTTCCGCCCGCAGCTTCGCTCGCGTCGAGTTCGATTACATCGCGTTTCCAACAGAATTTTTCCAAAGTCTGAGATAAAAACTATCCTATGTTCTTTATCAAGGTCAACTCTATCTCTGTACCAAATTACATTAAAATCAGTTCAGTGGTTTAGGCGTAAAATACAGACAGACAGAGTTACTTTCGTATTTATAATATTAATAGGGATTTCATAGATTGAATTGATACTTATAATGTTTTTTATAAGTATTTTTAAATAGTTGTTATCAAATTGGTTTTATCATATACAAGTTTTCCTATAACGAGTTTTTTTGGTGATTAAGAATTAATTAATTACATAATAATTTCCATTATAGACATATGTATTTATTTAAATAATATTCTTTTTATAATAGAAAATTATATACTTAATTGTTTTCTTGTAGACTATAGTTGAATAAATTGAATTACATGTTTTAGAAAGTCGGTGGCAGATGCTGATAGTGGAAGAGTGTCTTCATCTGATAGCAGCCCGGGGCGTTCTGGCTCACAGGTAAGGATTATTACCTTTACCTCTTTTGACTCTGAAGGAATAGTTTTTACTTTAATATGAGTACAATTCAATTTTATTGTTAGTCTTTATTGTTATGTAGGTTGTATATATGAAACTAATATTTTAGGATTTATTTCGCGTTTTTTATTTTGACTATAAACTACATACTCCCGTGATCACGGTTTCTGTAAAGTAGCCGAAACTTTGGGAGTATGTAGTTTATAGTCAAAAATAAAATTCGCAGAGTACATCCGAAAATATTAGTTTCATTTAAATGAGTACTCGCGAAAATCTTAGATCTCATTATGTACGTTGTATTTTTAATTTAACATATTAAGTAATGCTCTGATTATTTTATGTAATTTAAAGCTGAAACCCTATATTGACTAATTAGTAGTTTGCAACTAAATATATATTCTTTATACGACTGATTTTTCTCTCAAATTGAAACTTTTTAATTAGTTAATCAATATTAATATAATTTCCAGTCTCCAAAGATTCTAGAGAAGAAGCCTAGTTCATCGGAATTAGATGGACTGGTTGTACCTCATATGACTGGAGCAAGAAGGAGTATTGCAGACCCTACTGGCATACAACAGGCTATCAGCGCCAGGTGAGAGAGACAGATAGATGTGATTATATGTATGTGTGAGAGAGATGGATATATGATCAATAGAAAGATGAGATAAAGTTAAGTTTCATCATGTGTGAAAGAGATAGATATATATTCAAAAGAGAGGGAGAGAGACAGGTAGAGAAACTACTTTAATGTAATAAGCTTACATATGGTTTGTGATGATGATATAATGTTAAAATATGTATCTATTCGACGTTATTTCAACAGAAATTCAGGGTAGTTTTAGTTTTTTCGTTATTCTATAGTTGATTTGGATCCCTATATTGATGATGTTAATTTTCAAATTGTTTTAATAGATCATAATTGTTGTTATTTGATTTTAGTTATTTCTAATATGTTATTCCTTAAAAAAAATACAATCAAGATAGAAATGGAATATTGTTGAATACCTATGTCTGAATTAAATACTTTTGCAGGTTAAAAGTCGCGTATTTCGGTAAAAGGAAGCAGTAAGTGAGATTTAACTGTCGTGGAAGTGATCACAGATGTATTAAATATGATATATATATGTTGTCCTGTTTAACTACCAATAGTGACAACAAGCACTTTCCCACCTTAAATGTTTCATAGCATTTTTTTCTACCATGAATGTCCCATTATATCTATTTGCGACAGATAATTAATGTATATATTTATGTGTTTGTTATCATGACAGGGTTTCCGACTCCGAAGCGTCGCCACGCCGTCGTAAATTGGTCAGGAATCAATCTGAAGGCTCGCCCAAAAGTGGTGAAACTTCAGCTGAATTAAGAAGATTAGTTGACGCGCCTACAAGAAGACGGAGCGAATACGGAGTTATAGGAGACACTACATGCATGGGTGACCATAAGGTAAAAAAACTACCAAATTTAACAAATTTCCTACTATAATATTTTATTTAATTAATATTTTCATACAAATCGATTATATTAACACTGCATGCGAATTATATCTAAATTAAAAATTCACAAACATTTAATAGTTAGTTGGTATAAATAGTGCAATGTAAATGCTTAATATATTAATAATATTTTTTTCGTATATCATAGTATTTATTTCTATCCACAGCCGATATATCTGCGCGTGTTGCTGCAGTGTGATCGAGGTATCGTACAGTGTTGTGACAGCCTGCCTTGTGCATTATGCGTGTGCGCACTCAATTACACCAAAAAACCCCCAAAACTACCCCGCCTACCTACAGACCCCGATCTATATTCTAATAAATCTATTAAGAGTTACGATCATTCCAACAGCCATCCGGATTCGCTGTCCGACGAACAAAGACTAAAACGAACTAGAACCGGCTCGCTAAATGATAAAATATTTCGTATACCCAACGTAAAAATAACTAGCGCCGATTCTATATATAATGGGATCTTTGTTAACGATATCGATAATTCATTATTGAGTCCAAGCCGATGTATAGATCCTTATACGCCTGAGAGCGTTGACTCTCACACTCCTACCGCTGATGCGTCCAATGGTTCAGACGATCATGACGTCATAGATGCAATAGAAAAACAAAAATACAATCACGACAGGAGCGTCTCGCCTACACAATTAAAATCCCGCTTAAACAGACTCCTGAGTGATAAACAAAATGATAATACACCGGAAATACAAAGACGGAATAGCAATGAGTCTTGTAAGTCGGACGGCGGTAAAGGATTGTGCTGCTTAGCGCTAAAATGCTACGGGTTCTGTAGGCGTAAGGCGCGCAAAGTCAACTGTAGTGGCTTGAAATGTTGCACCTCATGACGTCACTGACGATTTGAAATTAGAATTCTCATGACGACGTTCGATTGGTTGATATCGAACTATCAAAATTTAATTTTGGAATTTATTGTTGTTTCGACTCGCGTTATGATGTTGCCAAAGTTTGATTTTGGAATATTGATTTACGAAACTTAGTTGTTTCATGACGATGTCGCTTAATGTCAAAATTTGAATTTAGAATAGTATTGATGCTGTCATGACTTGTTGCTTTGACATTTAAAATGTCATTTGCATTTGTAATAATAGTCACTGTCAAAACTTGTGTTGCTTTGTGACGTCGGCAAAGTGACATTCAAAATTTGAATTTCGAACGAATATGTTGACCTTGTGGCTCATGCCACGTTTAGTATTCCTAATATTAACTTTAGCCATACATAATATGGAATAATCAACCTTTGGTTGAACCGTTTTGAAGCTTACTCGTAGTGTTTACGCATGAGTGTTTTATATAGTATTAATTGTAACGCATGCATTTTAATGTTGCAATATTAGTTTAGATGTAAGTTTTATTTTTTTTTAATGTAAATATGACAATATGACTTATTGTAACTAGTCATAAAGACGCCTGAGAACTTAATGGCAAAGGGGGTGTCTGATATTGGCGGTTTTTTTTTTTAATTTAAAGATAAAGATCCATGATCATACAGCCAAGTATTGCAATAATATGCAATAGCATAGCTAATAACCTCCTTAAACATGCTCACGCCATATACGCCCCTTGTAAATGCAATTGACGTACATAATATAATTTTAAGCTTATAACTTTTATTTTAAAGTGATTTATACCAAATGGTCTTAATAATCTAGTCTAGTTCTGCTCAAGTGGACCTTTGAATATACTAAAGTTAAAAAACTTTTTAACATTCGAGTATTTATTGTGACGCGTGCTTTTTAACCAAATATATACTCAATTCTTTAATGCATAAGATATAATATTGTTTGTAAATACAAAAATGTTACCATTATTTTAACAGTACTTGTGAATTGGAAAGATATATATTAAGACTGGTTTGCATTTAAAACAATGATTGGTTTATTATTTCAGTACTTAAATTATTTGACATTGTATTTTCGAATATTTGATATATAAAGCTTTTGTATTAAAAAATATGTACAAAACCTCGCTGGTGCTATAAAATAAACATTCCTTACTGGATTTTTATATTTATTTTATTTTCAGTAATGTTGCCAATTTTTTTGCCAAACAAGCAAAATTCGTATCTGCGGTGTTGCCAGTATAAAAAATAAAATAGAATTTGTTTTAAAAAATATTCAATATATTGTGGTAACACCCATTATTTGAATGTCTGTGAGTGCATGTTTTTGTTGTATTATGTTCACGTGTGTATCTGCTTGAGTTCCTTTGTTTGTGTATGTGTGAGTATTTGTGTATGTGTGTGTGTATGTGTGTGTGTGAGTTATTATAAAAAAGAAATACAATTTATTCTTACTAAGCAAAGTAGTTTGTATGTAGTAAAAGCTTCGTTGTAGTTATATCTCTTACAGACCGCTGTTTCCTGACGCTTGCTTGTAAGTATTAATTTTAATTTGACGCAATTATATTTAGTTAATTCCAATTTTCATTTATCTTATATAATCTCAATTCTTGATGTGAATTAAGTGTTGTGAACATTTATGTGATCATGTTATATTCTGTGGCAGCCCTAATTGTTATTGTAAATATTATTATTACTAATGTTATGTGACAGCCCTAAATCTCTCCTGGTATATTCTCCGTCCAGGTAATTTCCGTCATGAGTACCATTCGGAGAGCTCTCCGCGACACGCCCTGGACGAGTCTGATCAAGAAATGGAAACCAGCACCCGTTATATACAGTTCGACGCGTATAATATATTTAAGGAAACCGATATATAGAGGATTGTCATTAGTTTGTGGGCAGCCTTATATGATGTTCGTTATGACAGTTTAAATTAATTGGCGCCAAATTAATCATACAAAATTACATGAATGAGAAATTTTTAAATCATTCAATTTAATGAGATCCTAAACTTTTGCTAGTATTTATTTTAATCTTTTACGTTTTACTACGCGTATTTTATTATTTGTAGTCATTCAATTTGACAGTACTATTTACATATCGGCAAATGAACTTCTCATAAGTAAAAAATATTTGCTGTTCAAAATATTACAATACATTTTGAGTTTTGACGTCTCGCTCGTAAGTACTATTTCAAAAAATCCTAATTATTCGACATATCTTACATGAGAAATCCCTATTTTAACTTTGGGCGAATTCAAAGGTAATTACTATAATCAATAATTATTTATTCAATGACATTGACATATTACGTCATATTATGACATATGTCTGATTATACCCATTTTATGAATAACGTAAGTAATTGAAAGTATTGTAGTTTATGTAATAAAAATAATCAATGGGCTTGCATCGTCAATATAGCAACGTAATATTGATTAATCCTTAAATTAAGGTTACTCGGCATTTTCTTATTCAGGATAAAATAAGTATAATAATATAACAAAAAATCATTATAATTCCAGTAAGCGGGATTAATATAAAGATTCCTTTTTGAGATAATTATTATATAATTTAAAATACGTATATTCATTTTTAAATTTACACTTAGTTATGTATTGATTTTCAAACGAAGTAAAAAATCTTTACGAAAAAATAAGATAAAACCAAAATGTATGTAGGTATGTACTTAAAATGTTTTCTCTCAAATATTTTTTTAGCCTCGTCTTAATATATGATTATAATATGTTTCTGTCAACTTAAAATTACACGAACACGTTAAAAAAGAAAGTTCTATAAATAAAATTTAGGTACGTAGATTAAATCCCTTTTCTAGATTAATTCAAAAATAACTATTAAAAAGTCTTATCATATAAATTATAGATTTTAAATTCAAACATTATATAAATTTAAAAAAAATGATATTCAATACTTCTAGCGAATGTAGTTCAATTAATTTTATATTATTTTAAAAAATAATAATAAATGTTCTTTGTTTTTAATCTGTCTATAGATAATAAAATATATAGTATACTTATCATAAAAGTCCTTTGCTCGCTATTAAATAGTACTTTTTTAAATATATTTTTGTAGATGCTAGTCGAAAGTTAATGTCCATATCATTTGAACTGTTTCTAGTCTTGAATGTTTCTCTCTAGTCTAAAATTTTACTTAAATCTTTAAATATATCTCAGTAGTCAAGTATAGTTCTAAAATATGCACGTAAAAATGAATAATTATATATTTGACTAATATACTTTATTGTCAGAAGAAAAATATAAGATCACATTAAAAAAATATACTTAAATATTTGACTAATAAAAATCTTAAATGTATTTGCTAAAATATAAGGTAAAAAGTATTTTCTTCTATATTTTTTCTTTGTATACTTATCGTCGTATGTGCCAGATAGTTATAGAAATAAAAATAATTCTTATGTTATTATTATCAATGTTATGTTCTTATATAATTGTATATCAATAATTTTACTTTAGATTTATTAATAAAAAACAATAATATGTTAAGATGTAATTATATTGAATAACAATATATTTTCAGATGACAATCAAATTTGTGTTAACGTCTCGTCTGTCCGTGATCACGGTTGCTGTAAAGTAGCTGAAACGTCGGGAGTATGTAGTTTTTTACTAAAAATAAAAATCGCGTAGTACATCCGAAAAATATTAGTTTCATCTAAAAATATATTAGTCATAAATATATACAATAGTTTTGTTATATCTGGAAATATATTGTTATTGATATAAAAACATTCACCAACATATTTTTGTATTATACATAACTACATAAATATATCAAAATAGTTAAATAACAATAGAATATAAAATCCATCCACCGAATAATTTAATTTACTATTAATCAATATTATTTCAATAATCCTAGAATTAAATTATTGTCACATAATATATATTAAATACTCTTAGTTTTATAAGCAACGTTATCTGTATGTAGTGAAAATGACAATTTTGAATATAATACTCAATGAATCATAATAAATACGTATAGAACAAATCAAATATCTAGATCAATTTAAACAATATTTTTAAACTATGTATTAATTCTCACTAAAATTATGGAATATTTTGCCAATGTCAACGTTTTAAATTGTTGAACGAATGTAATTTTGAATCCTATATGTAAAAAAGTAGAAAACACTACTAAAACAACAAAAAGGAGATTCCTATCCGTTTTGAAGTTTATACAAAACTGACAATTTTTTAAAAAAAATATTGGATATATCTGAAGCTCATTCAGCCAAAAAACAGCTGACTTTTATGTTCAATAAGAAATATAAGTGTTGCTTTACCGATCATTCTCATTTTAGTTGCAAATTAATAAAGAAATTTATAAAAACATCAACTAAAACATCGTAGTATGAAATTTATGACAGTTTGATAAATACACTCGAAAACCGGTTCTTATTATTAAGAAAGTTCCTGTTAATTAAACAATACTAATTATTGAATTATCGTAGAAAAAATGTACTTAATATATAAGATTTAATGTTTTTTTTGCCCAAAACCGCCTTATAGCCGATAGCATTTAAAGAAATATTCACGGTCATAGCTTATACACAGATGTAATAATGTTTAGATAAATTTATTTATAAATTTTGTAATTTATAATAGCTTATATTTTAGTATGGAATAACTTTTTTTAGTTTTAATAATAGTTATTATTAATATAATACTGAAATCGTTAACTCTATAACTATAGATTAAAATATACATAAATCACACATATATGACACTAAACTACACATTTTTGAGCACCTACATAATATATTTTAAAAAAATATCTGCAGTATACTTAATACAAGTTTTGCATTATCATACATTAACTATTTTTTTCTTGTTTCACACTCAATAACCTACGTTAGTACTATAAGTTACAAAGATTTATGAATGAAAAACTGTTAGACGCTCAGTATATTGTGTGTCACTCCAAAACTTAAAGTACCTACGCATACAATACAATAATAAATCCATTATGTACGAAATACTTATAAATAATATTTTTTAAGATGTTTTATGAATCAAGACAATGAAACCGTCAGTACTTAAGATTACACTTAAATTAGTAATTCATAAAACGATAACAGTGTAGCTATACTCAATAGACAAGAAATAAAATATAAAGTCCCAATAAAATACTTTAACTTTAGTTAATAATATTTTCTTCACGTCAGTCCTATAATTGTAATATTAATTACTGCAGCTCAAGAATTCTGTGTAGCAGATTATTGAGGTATAACACCAAGAAAATTCCATTTTAGTATCTTATATTGTGAAATAATTCTCACTGAATGTTATTTTATTCGATAAAAATTGTTATTGATGTCTAGTTATAAATAAAATGTTGAAAATATTATTTTTTGTTTAATTTTTGATAACTCCACAAAAGAATATATATATACACAAACAGACAAAAATTTAATAGCCACAAGCGTGATAAAGTTTAATTTTGTTATCTAGATAAAAAGTAGCCTAAATTACTCCTTATTTCATCAGCTACCTTCCAGTAAAAGTCCCGTCACAATCAATCCAGCCATTACAGAGAATAGCCGGAACAAACAGGCAGCCAGACAAAAATAAATAATAAACATATTTCGGGGGCCAGTGAATGATCAGTAAAACTTAATTTATATTCAAGTCACAATTAAGTAACTATTTTCTAAAGAGGTGTCTTTAAAGTAGCAATTATTTCCCATTGTGCAAGGCATATAGTCATTTTCAATTTCCCTATCCCACCGATGGCTCAGCTCCAACATTTGGTATTTAACACCATTGGTATACTATTGTTGTGCCCTGGCTGTGCTGGGGCAACAAATTATGCATTTTACATCTATTACTATACTGTGCATAAGTAAAATAAATGCTTAGTTGGAAATAAAACTGAGAGTTTACAGTATAAAATTTTATTACATTATATGAATATAAAAGTAAAAAATATTATCAATATTTAACATTTCCATATACATATAAAGTTATAATTAAAGAGAAGACAAAATTATATTTGGCTATTTTGAATGGCACATTTTATAAACAACTATAAAATATAGAAATATAGTTACTTATTTAACAACTTGTTTTAATATCACATATACTGTATACTGTTTTATATTTTATTTTGTAATGAGTATTGTTAGCCCTGCAGCTTTTACAGCATCATTAAGAGAATTTAAAAAGTTATAACATGTTTTATTATTCTACAACACTTAAATACAATCCAAAAAGTATTAAACAATTAAAACAAAATCACAATATGTTTATGGCTATTTAATTTGTAATTAACATTAATAAATGGTGTTTTAGTTCCAATATTGAGTTATTGAAATCTTAAACAGAATTAAGTACATTACAGTCTAAGAGTCATATGTGTAATAATTATAAATATATTCAAAAATAACCTTAATATATAATTTTCAATTAAGATCTTATTTACCTGTATTAATTGACATTAAACTTTATACTACTCTCTAAAATAATAGTAAATGTTTTAGATTCAATATTGAATGTATAAATTTATACATATTTGTCATAGTATCTTGATTTCTTTGATTAATATATTAAAAATATCACTGCTTAGAATGAACCTTGATACTTTAGTCACTACAACAGTCCATGCAATCTGCACAGCTACCAGCATCGGTTGTATCGTTGCTGGATTCACAACAATTACTAATGCAGTCCCCACAATCGTCGAAACATGATTCCGTGCAATTACCAAGACCGCGAAAACACCAAGCTATGCAATGGCATAGAAAAAATATGTCTGAATCATCGCAGTCTAATGCGTCCATACAGCAATCTTCACGTTGCCGTTCTTTCTTCCTATCTTCTTCATCAGACATCTGTTCAGGTGATGGTGGTTGAGGATTGTCAGGATCATCACTGTTTGGCAGTGGTTGTGATGTGATAACAGACATTACGAATACTACTACGGATACACTTAGCACCACATTAAGTACTTAAATTATACTTCAGATGGGTTTAGTGTAACTAAAATTGTCCTTATTATTTATAAATACAAAACGGATAAAAAATAATTAACGGAAGACCAATACCTAACTACTAAGTTTGTTCAAAACATACTTTAAAAGCTCGAAATGACTTATTCAATACGTTTAGAAACCAGTTATGAATATACTGATAAAAATTTTGAAGTTTAACAAATCACTTTTGTAATTATCAAACCGATACTGCTAATGAGTACATTGGAAACACAATTAATTTATTTTTCATAACTATTATCGTAAAGATAACAAGAATTTTGAGATCAACTATATAAACATTATAAAAATATTTTCGGACATTCAAAATATTAATTTTTATGGGAATTTTTTGACTCCAATTCGTAGTAATGTCCGCTACCTCGAAAATTCAAAGCATTACCATTTACCAAATGTTAAGTCACCAATATTCACAATCAGTAATGCGAATAAAGTCCTAGCATGAAAAAAAAACAATCAAGAAACATGAAGTGATTTCACCTTTATAGTTTTTGAAAACAAATTATCAGGATAATATTTTTTTTGACACTCATGATTCAAAGGTCATAAACAACCCAAAAATGTTGAAACTTTAAGTTTATCTTTATTCTTTTGTTGTTAAAGTACAGCTTATTATGTGACTTAACATGAGATTGCGTTAAACGTCTAACGCTTTAGGGGGGCGGGGAATAAAAAAGAGCGAGATTAAATGCGTGGCTCTCGCACGCATGTAGGCAATCAATTGTGACTCGTAAGTATGTAATATAATAAAAATTATTTAATTGAAATTAATATTTTTCGCATTATACTAAGCGACGTTATTTTTTGTCGGAAACTACATACTCCCGACGCGAAGTTTCGGCTACTTTTCAGCAACCGTGATTACGGACAGACAAGATGACATCTCATTGGGACAAACGTCGGGAGTATGTAGTTATTTACAAAAGTAAACTCGTATTATAATCCGAAAAATATTAGTTTAATTTAAATGAATAAAACTTGCGCAAGTCTTAGATCTCATCTATACTAATATTATAAAGCTGAAGAGTTTGTTTGTTTGTTTGTTTGTTTGAAAGCGCTAATCTCCGAAACTACTGGTTCGAATGGAATAATTCTTTTTGTGTTGGATAGTCCAGTTATCGAGGAAGGCTGTGGGCTATATAACATCACGCTACAACCAATAGGAGCAAAGATATAGTGGTAAATGTGTAAAAAACGGGAGAAATTATTTCATCTTTGAAGCCTTCCGTTGCGTGTGCCGTGAAAACGGTTCAAGATACACAAAAAATATGTATTAAAGAATAATAGCTCTTTTAATGATCTAAAAAACAGTCCGCGACAGTATATGTCTATCTTTTAAGATTAACTCACAAAAACCGTTTTTATGGTACCTAATTTGGTCGAAATAATTTTATAAAATCTTTATTCAAATAAACAAATAAATATGTTGTTGGTTAAGGGTACTTCATTGTGAATTAAAAAAAAACATCGGTTTTATCCTGAAAACTCTACGGGAACTCGACCATTCCGAAAACCCCGCAAGAACGGGAACTATGTGGGAAGAACCAAAACTCTGCCGGAAGTCACTACTCCACGCGGACGGAGTCGCGGCAAAAGCTAGTTATATAATAAAATTTGTTTTAAAGAAACACTAAAAATTCCATATAAATCTATTTTTATATTCTACCCCTTCCTTTGTTACTTTTTTTGTTTATTTTAGGCCACCTGTTGCCTTCGCGCAGCCCTTCCCTTTGCGTCTTCATCACGCAGCCGTGGAGATTTTGGGATAGGGCGCTCTTGCAAGTTTGAGGACGACCCTCGGCCATCCTCGACCTTTTGTGACGCTGAGATCTCACGCTGCGCAGTGAACAAGCGTTAGATGCAATCAAGTCAGACTCTGAATCCGATTCCCTCGGGTTTGTCAGCGGTACAATGGACTTGTTTGACGAATCCAGCACCTCCCTAGGGGCCGAAAGTCATCTAGGCTTTCCACGCCGCCAGCACGAGCTCAGCTCGCTTGTACGCACTTTTACGTCTGATATTTTGTTTTGAGTTATATTTTAATTTACCATATTGGTCTTATAAGTGTGGGGGAAATAGCAGGTCCACCCAGAGAATTCCCCCTGTCCCTAGGTAAGTGTATATTTGTTTCCCAACTAGAGGTTCCACCGATTTCCTAGCTGGGTGTGAGCTCACGACTGATACTACTCCTCAGCCATACATACCCTCACCGAGCACCAGAACTTATTATTGAAGGAATTTTTGATAGATTCACCTTCCTCGAGGTCCGGGTTAATCCAAGACTCACTACATATTATTAAAATTAATTACACACAAATAGCAAAGAAACTAAGCAATATCATAAGTATTTATATAATTAGTTACTTTTGATTAAATAACGTATGTATATCCTTTGGTATAAAGGCAGTTTTACATTAAACTGAATAAATCTTATAATTAATTCAATTAGTTTTACACTTAAATATCAAAAATATGTCTCGTATTTTGAGAACCTTTTAATTCCATAAGAAGGAGTACTGTCTGTATTTCCAATTTACTGTACAGTAAACTATTAAACTCAAAACAACGTTTTATGGCCAATGCAAATGAAATAACGACTTGAAAATTTAAGCTGAGATATTAATTACGAAGTTTTGATCTTTGCTCCAGGTAAATCAAAGACAATTATTCAAATAAGTCAGTAACTAAGCTGGTTTTTTTAAAACTAAATGTACGCCAAACAGGTTTTACATGACATTGACATTTTTTCATAATTTGTTTATTAATTAATCTCTTCTAGCTATAAAACTTATATGACGTTTAAGTTTTATAACTTTTTTTTCTATATATTTTAGAATAAAAAACAAAAATTGTGACGTAAACAACCTCTTACTATTTTTTAAGAAAACTTTATTCTAGCTGATCTTTTAAAACTAATACTGATTAATAATTTTTGTTAAGACTAAGACTATTTGTCATTCCTCTCATAAATGCTTCTAAACATTTTTAAACATCCTTTCCTTAAGACCCAAAATTAAAAAATCACTTAGTAACAACTGAGTGTTTTGTTCTAAAAACCTTTTTAAATTAAAAAAAGAACCAATTTGTTCCTTTTATATCTGTGAAGATGTTATTGTAAAAATATTATTAAATATTTTATTTGTATGAGTATGTCAAAACAATATATATGTTGAAGGTGTAAGCCTCAGGTTAATTAAATTCATTCTGCAACTAAGGATAACATTGAAACGTTTTTTTTATAAACAGGATTTGACTTGAATACTTAATTACGAAATTAGTCAAGCGCGCGCATTCATTGAGTGTAGACGTGTTGCTCAGTGCAATAATCTTTAGCACGAACTTTCGTATTTGAAAATATTTATTCGATCTAATATTACAATGATAATATATTTAGGATTGTTATTTGGTTGTCTTGGTGTTTATTGGACTTACGTAAAACTTTCGTCATATAACAATAAATTGATACCGAAAATACCAAAAAAATTCAATATAAATAATTTTAGAGTGTGCTTTAAAGGTACGTGATTAATATTTGACATAATTTGAAGCGGCATTTGTCATTTTATCATTTGGATTTAATAAATACTGCAAAATGGATATAGAATTATAGTTTTTAGTAAAATCGTCTTTGAAAGTTGTGATGTTTTTTTTATTCTAGAATTATCTAAATGGCTTATATATGCTGGAGAGTATAGTAATGATGTCGGTGGTGTATCAAAGTTCAATTATGGACCAATTGTTGTATACGGTAAGCTGTGGTTTTATCACAATAATTAATAAATAGATAACTTTCGTTTCGCGTCTATACTTAATTAGTTTGTTATTATTTACTGACAGTTGTGGTCAGTGTTGCCAGGTCCGAGGTTAAAGCCAGAACCGGTTTTTTGATTTAAATGATGACATACAAAAAAATAATTTTCTTAAAGTATCTGAAAAATATTGATGCTACTTACATTAGGTATAACTAATTATAAGCAAAACTCTTTTTACCTTGTAATAACTTGTTGAACGAAAATATATTTCATTTATTTAGTATATAATTTATATAATATTATATGTGTAAAGGTTGTAAACCTTTTATTAATTTCAACATACCAACCTTCAATCATACCTTTAAGATACCTGAACAAGGCCGTCGCAAACTTAAAAAAAACAAGGCAAAAGAATACATAATTAACATTAATACAATGTTGTTGTTAATTATAATTTTTAAGAGTTTATTTTGGAAGTCTTTTTTTTATGGGAAAAGGGGGTAACCGAGCAGGCGGCCTACTTGTGGAACTGTTCATAAAATTATACTTTTAAAAACAAAAGAGATAAAAAAGTCTCCAAAGTATATAACATTCAAAATAAAAACTAAATATTACATATATAAAATGTTTGTTTTAAATTAAAAGTATATCAAAGCGGGGCAGAATCCAAGTCAACGGCCGACATTTTCATTCACATATTACAAAATTTATAATAGTTGTTCTTCTAGTTAATTTGAGGTAACCGGCTATATAACTTTTTGTATCATAAATGGTTTTCAATGTAAAAAAAATGAGTTAAATAATATTATACCACGATTTAAAGCGTATTATTAGCGTAAGGCAAAGAATATAAATAATGATAGTATAGATTTATTTATATAAATATTAAACTTAAAAATACACTAAGAGTAAAAATAAATAGATCGTATCTTTTGTATGCAAGGACATTTAATTGATATTGTATCGGCCATTATGAAAAAGACATGTGATTGAATGAAAATATAATAACAAAGTAGGTTACATCTAAAATAAATAAATAATAATAATATACGAAGGATGAATGAATCAAGACTCTGAATGATTTAATGTCTGAAAAATAAATATATTCAAACTTTTTAGAGATTTTATCATAATATATTTTATTTTTACTAAGCATTGTTTCACATGTTAAGTGAAAGTAATAATCGAAATTATATGTATTAATAACTATTTTTTTTACTAAATTCGATAAACACAAGTTCTTCATATATGCATATATGTATGTATTTCAGTAGGAATCTTACTATTTTACAACAGAGACTTAATTCTCTCAAAGCAAGTGAATAATAAAAAATGTATACTCCGATCAAATAGTATTTATTGTTTTATGTTTAGTATGAGTTCTCGTCACACTACATTCGTATCGTTAACAGTTTTTCATTAATAAATCTTCACACATTATAGTATTAACGTGGGCTATTGAGTGACAATGAATCTTAGAATATAAAATAAAATGTATCGATTTTTTCTCTAAAAATATAAAATTTTTATTATAATTAAAAGTTACAAAAAAGACCATAGTGAAGTAATTTTGTATTAAAAAAATTATGACATATATTTGCAAAAAGATAGTGTGTATATTCAATTTATTTTGTCTCCACATTCTACACGACACTGGCTAAATATGACGTGCACGTTAAATTTTATAGTGTCTAAATACTCTTAAAAAGTACATACGACTCGGAAAAATCACATTGATTAATTAATTAATTAACATTTACAGTGGTTTCAAACCCAGAAGACGCGTCAACTGTTCTGACTCGATGTACAAGCAAGTCATTTGTGTACGACTTAATAAAACCTTACGTTGGCAGCCAACTCATCGCATCTGACTGTAAGTTATCCCTACTAATATTATACATGCGAATGTAACTCTGTCTGTCTGTTACGCTTTCACGCCTAAACCACTAAACTGATTTTAATGAAATTTAGTACAGATATAGAGTTGACCTTGAGAAAGAACATAGGATACTTTTTATCCCAGACTTTTGAAAGGTTCTCTTGGAAACCGAACTCCACGCAGGCGGAGCTGCGGGCGGACAGCTAGTTCTGTTAATAATTTTTGAAGTGAAAGTTCTGATGACTTACAATAAGGTTGCGTTAAACGTTTAACGCTTCTAGGGTGGAATAGAAAGAGACGGAGCGAGAGTAAAATGGTGGGTTTAAGTTGCGAATTATAAGCAATGTTTATAAAGTTTGTCTTAAAGAAACAATATGAGTTCACTAAAAATTGAATTTTACAGGGGTAAAGGATAGGAAGGGTCCTATTTTCATTTCTGCATTACGAAGTTTCACTTCTTTCGCATAGATTGACTCCACACAATACTTTTTAGTTGATGACTTTCGCAAGCATTTAAATTAAACTAATATTATCTGATATACTACGAATTTTTCATTATATTAAACATCGTTCTCAGGACGTTAGGGTTGCAAAGTAAAAATAAATAACGCATAGTAATCCGTAATCATTAGTTTTATCTACTAGCTAATATTTGTTCTTCTACCTACCAATATCCCAGCTATAGCCGGGGTCTGCCTCACATGTAGTGAATAGTTTTGGCTATTTGTTTTTAAGACCGGCCGCCTGCCAGACATCAACCCTCTTTAGGAATCAACATCAATCAGTGATGTCTAAATACTCTTAGAAAGTACATACATATGACTTAGAAAAATCACATTTGTAATTGCCCGGGCCAGGATCGAACACGCGCCCTCGAGCTTGAGAGGCGGGCCTCTTAACCACTAGGCCACCACTGACTTTATTTTTATAAACTGTATATACAGATCCAGTGTGGAAACGCAACCGTCGTCTTCTCGACCTGGCCTTCAAGCAGAACATCTTGAATAGTTACGTGGCTATGTTTAATAAACGAGCCGACGCACTCGGGGTAGATATGTCCAAGGAAATAAACAAAGAAGTCGATTTTACGCATCTATTAAGTAGATATCTATTGGGAACCGCTTGTTGTAAGTAGTTTATAGAATTAATGCTTATTTATGTCTAGCTATCTTTCATACAACAGATTTATTACTTAATTTATATCAGAACTTCATCAAATACTCTCTTAATTCTAAGACAAGACACTTATAAAATTTGTACTCGTATTTTCCTTAATGTCCCTATAATTTACATTTGATTTTAACTATTAATATATTTAAGTTTTAATATTCAAAATTTTACCAAGTTTTTGGTCCACATACCGTGCTCAAATAAAACTTTTTTTCCTATATCTTTAACTATCAATTTTCTGTTATAGATACAACACTAGGTGTAAACGTGAACGACCAAAATGTATCTATAGATAGTTATCTAAAGTCAGTGGATAAATTAATAAAGATCATGTTGAACAGATTCGTACAGCCCTGGCTTCTTTTAGATTTTGTATTTAAATTTAGCGAACTGAAGAAAGAACAGGATGTTGCTCTGGAAATTGTGCAGAATTTTTCAGAAGAGGTGAGTCAGAAGAATATTCTCATTTATTACAATCTTTGGTCCTTAGTCTTGTCTTCTGATAACAGAAAAATAAATCTTGGGCGTAAATCTTGAAGTTATTATAAGGAATTTTCTCGTTGGGTATATCAATTTAGAATTATTATTTAAAGTCCGAAATAGTCCATTAGATTCAATCGTGTTTTTTTCGTCACAGGTTATACGAAAGAAGAAAACGCAATTCGCACAAAACAATGATCACCCAGGAGATATAGACGAAGGTTTTATTATATTATTAATATACATTATTTTATATACTAAATGAAACTAATATTTTGCGGATGTACCACGCGACTTTATTTTTGATAAAAACTATGTACATACTTCAAACGTTTCGGTTACTTTACAGCAACCGTGATCACAAAGACGAGATGTCAAAGTAACCGAAACGTCGGGAGTATGTAGTTTTTATCAAGAGAGATGAAACTTCTTATCATCCGATGTATTCATATGCGTGTGTCGGGTCCATCGTTGTAGTGAGAGGAGTTTCAACAGTGACTGTGACTTGTGATCCAGGTGTAGGTAAAGTAAATTATAGTCGCGTAGTATATCCGAAAAATATTAATTTCGTTTAAATTACTCGCGAAAATATCAGATCTCATTATATTATAACAAATATATAAATATTTTTCAGGTAACGTAGAGAGTCTCTTGGATATTCTGATGAAGAATAGGAATGAAGATGAAATTTCTGATAGAAATATGAGGGAGATAGTTGATAACGTTATATTAGCTGCTTACGATAGCAACGTGTATATGATGATCTATATATTAGTGTGTATTGGAAGTTATCCTGATGTCCAGAAAAAAGTTTACGACGAGTAAGTAAATCCAAAATAACTACTTTAAAAATTGTGGCCTAGTGGTTAAAAGGCCCGCCTCTCGTGCATGAGGGCGTCGGTTCGATCCTGGCAAGTACCAAAGTGAATTTTCAGAGTCATATGTATTTTATGAGAGTATTTAGACACCACTGATTAATGCATTCTCAAAGAGGGTTGATGTCGGGCAGGCGGCCGGTCGTAAAAACAATTAGCCAAAACTATTCACAACATGTAAGGCAGACCCTGGCTAAAGTTGGGAAATTGCCAGGTAAAAGAAGAACTACAATAATTTAACTTCTTGTTAACGCCTGGATGATTTTGTTAATTATACGTATTAAAGTATGGAATACTTAATACATATTATCCAATAAAATCATTTTGTTACATGATTATTACATGTATAGTGAGACGTTAAAACAATAAACATCGCTTTCTGAGTTTTTCATTACTAATAAACCGTTAAATTAAATCTATTTTGAATTGAACGAAAAATAAAGAAAACTTCTTGACTATCTTGTATTTTTCTATCCAAATTTTTTGTCTCCTTTCTTTTACTGAAAATCCACAAAAAATGACTATTATCCTAACTAAAATCTACATATTATACATATATAGTTATATTTTAACAACAATTAATGTAATGATACCTTACTAGTGAAAATTTTACTTACTGTACCTAATGGCTAATATTAAGAAATTTTAAATACAATTTCAGTTTACCTATCTTTTAATTGAATATTAATGATTATTTTCAGAGTAATCAGTGTAACCGGACAAACAGACAGAGATATTACCCACGAAGACTTGCCCAAGTTAGTTTATCTCGAGGCGGTGGTTAAAGAAGCGATTCGCCTCTACCCAGCAGGACCTATTGTAGGACGAGTTACGACGTTTGATACTCAATTAAGTAAGAATAACTTCGACTATTATTATTTGTAAATAAAAATCTTTCTATAAATATCTTTACTTTAAAAATAATAATAATGAGTCTTTTTTGAGATTGAAGACTTTTGCTAGTATTCATTATGAAACTAATATTTTCGTATTACTACGTATTGACAAGACAGATATTCACTTCTCGTCTGCCCGTGATTACGGTTGATGTAAATTGTAAAGTAACCGAAACATTGAGTGTGTAGTTTAAAATAATAAAAAACTCGTAGTAATCCAAATAAATATATAAGAATATATAATCTAAATTATATAAGAAACTAAGTATCTTCTAATCAATTTCGTAGAGGATTACATACTGCCAGCCGGTTGTCAAGTCATAATACATCTTGGCGCCATAAATCGTAATAAAGAACATTGGGGACAAGACGCGGATGACTTCCGACCGGAACGTTGGTTCGATTCTATGCCGACACATCCGGCTGCATATTCAAGCTTTTCTCCAGGAAGAAGAAGCTGTATTGGTGGGAACAGCTATTATATGTGTAACGCCGGCCATAAACGCTACGGTCTACCGGAGAGGTCAACCTGTGCAGTTTTTTAAACGCTACCATTATTAGGTTGACCTGCGCAGATATACCTGCACGGAATACCTCTTCTGTAGACCGTAGCATGTGTGGCCCAATACTAATTTTCAAATTAAATAAATCAAAACAGTGTTCTAAATTTAAATAATTCACTATTATAAAACCTTTTTGCGCATAACCTTTTTTGTATTTTTATTGGGCAGAAATAAATTACTGACAGATATGTCATCTATATTTTTGACATTTATTTGAAACTTTTATATAACCTTTTCGTAGACTTCTTATTGAGACAATAATTATAAGTGGCAAAATATAGATTATACATATTTTTTTTTTTGTTACAGGCAAATCATATTCAATAATGTTGTTAAAAACAATGACATCAAAAATAATCAAGAAATTTTACATAAGCAGTGATGATACGAAATTGGATTTTGAATTCGGATTGTTTTTGAAACCTATCGCTGGACACCATATTAAATTAGAACTGAGATGAAGTAAATATAATATGAAAATAGGGATAAGCTCTTAAGTATTATATGGTGTAATTAATAATAATTATTTTTTAAGCATATTTTTTATTTTCCCTTTTTTTACCTGAATAATTTTATTATATAAAGTTTACCAAATATGTCATCTAAATTATAGCTATCTCATAAGTCATAAGTATGATAATATCATCGACAATTTGTTAAGACGAATACTTTTTCCTTTTTATTTGTAACAATGGTTTTAATAAATAGGAGTCGGAATAAATTTATGACCAATTTAATTTTCCAAGAAAAAAATTCTTTGTAATTTTTTCTAGGGTTGCTAGCTTATGTGGCATCACGAAACCCTTTTGTCATCCTTTTTTAATAGAGGTTCGGGATACAAGAGTCAAACGTGGATTTAAACTAAATAAAAATAACCAAAAAATCGCTACCCCAAAATACGTAGATAAATGGACTATATACTTAATTTAAATATCGCAGAATCGCTCTTTAATGTTACATTATTTAAAAGATAAAACTTAAGAAAAATAGACAAAACAGATTCTTCAAACAAAGAATGTACATTATCATGAAAGACAAAAGAAACCGGGAACGATTTTTCATTTTAACTTCAATAATTTAATATGAAATTTGAAAACAGTAGTTTATTAAAGATATCAATTCAATTCCAATGTCATTAGTGTAGTAGTTTTACACATAATTTTCGTTTAATCCCTGATATGATTATTCTTTACCCTCTCTTTTTTTAGCGTGTCGATGATAAGCGAAAAATTATTTTAACATCGACAACAGTATTGCAACTATCACTCGTTACGCTACTAGTCATTCAATCTAGAAATATGTGGAGTGACAAATGAAAACACGCAAGAAAATGTTACAGCCAACCAAGAAACATAGATGGCTTAGTCTTTGAATACTCTTCAACCTACACCAGCTTTTAATGTAGTAGCCACTATTCAAATCTTCTGGGAAAGTCTTATATTAACCCAGTAGAGGAGATAAATTCATTAATTGTACCAAGTAGACAATATAAAAAGTAGTCAAATTGTAATCAAATTCATCGAAGTTTCTCTAAAACTTTGGTTTTTCTATATTTTACCATACAAATGTATTATTCCGTAGATATTAGTTGTCCTATATAACAATAATTTTAATCGTCAGTGAGTAAATTGTTGAAATCGTTTTTATGGTATACTTTTAGTCTGTAACAAGGAAATGCATCAATAAATTTATGGTTACGTACTTGAATGTAAAGCGATAAAGCTTATGGCGCCATTTTCCCGAAGGGTTTATTTACAATAATTCCTGTCACCGCTTGAACGATCCACCACAGGACTCATAATAATAGTTGTAGTAGAATCCTTCCTAATGAGAGCTTCGATGGCACTTATAAGGCCAGCCGTACACGGAGTACGGACTGCTTCAAGCAGTTATAACCGACTGCTTGAAGCCGCGACCGCGCGGAGAACTATAGCCATTCATTCGCTGCCGTACACACGACTGCTCGAGCAGTCGCGACCGCTTCAAGCCGTCAACTACATGATGAAATTCCATATAATAGAGCAGTCGACAGCTCTACGACCACCCCCTCCCTTCTATTCTGGCCTCGCGGCGTCTAGTGTCTCTCTGTCTCGTCTCATTTGTCGACTGATCTTTGAAAATGAAGGTTACCAACTGCTCGAGTGGTTAGTAGCGACAGCTCGAGCAGTCAACAACCGATTGCTCAAGCAGTCAACGCAGACCGCTCGATCTGTCCGTGTACGTCGCTCAGCCTTTAACTGCTCGAGCAGTCCGTGTACGCCGTGTACTTTCCGTTTGGTACACGGATATTTTAGAAATATATGAGTCTTTAACCTTTAAGATATAGTTATTAGTTACAAATTGCGTGTCTGAAGTGTCCTAAAGATCAGGTTACCTAACGGCTATTAATTTCTTAGAATATACAGCATCGCAATTTCGTCCCCGAATTTAAAGAAAACTTCTTACTTCTGGCTGAAATAGCAATTACGGTTGATAGAGAGACAGAGAGTATGTGGTGTTTTATTCTGTAACAACCGTTGCAACAATAGGTGACTGGTATCATAACCTATTATCCAGGTTCACACGCAGTCCCAAGCAGTCTTTGAATTTGACTTGTGATTCTCATAAGGAGGAAGACTGAAGTTCTTTCATCAACGGGGAAAAGCAATAATGCCAGTGTCTATTTCATTTCTCCAACTATAATAAACTCTGTTCACATATGGATGTTTAAATAATTGTTCTCACAACTCAGAATTTAATACGCCGTAATATCCCGAGATATAATTCACGAGAAATCCTCTAACATAGAAAAGCTTTTGTAATTTATGCTCGAAATATATTCATTTATTAAAATATAAGTTAACTCTATTGTTTCGTTGTTGTTCCCAAAAGTATATGTACGTAACAGGAAAATCTCAATCCTTATGAAAGTTGTTTTGAATATTGAGTCATATATAGTGAATCTTCGTCAATTCGGGTCATTCTCGGAATTTATTATAATCATTACTTAGAATGATTGACGAAATGTTGTTGATTTTCAATATTACTGTGTTAACTTTATATTTTTTTAATAAATTTTCAATTAATATCCATCATATTCTTCTTCTATTATCTGGCAATTTCCCAAGCTTTAGCTTGAATCTACCGTACATGTTTAAATATTTTTTACTAATTGTTTTTACGACCGGCCGCCTGATATCGACCCTCTTTTTGGGAATGCGTTAATCAGTGATGTCTAAATACTCTTAGAGAGTACATATGACTCGGAAAAATCACATTGGTACTTGCCAGGGCCAGGATCGGACTTTGATCGTGCATGAGAGGCGGGCAATTTAACCACTAGGCCACCGCTGATTGTATAATATCCATCTTATTGTTCTTACAAAAATAATTTAATAATTTGAAAATTAACTCATTATTCCCTAAAAAACAATTTTTATATGTAACTATACATACATAACATAAATATGACACTACGGCAAGATATTAAAAAACATGATGTATTATTTGAATTAATTGTGTTTATTTTCTATTAACTTTTATAAGATTGATACGTAATCTTGACTTTATTTTAATATTTTTCCTTTTTTTAAATTAATTCAGTTAAAATAACACGAATGCTGGGTGCAACACTACGTAATTGTCATTTGTGTGATCTTATATACCTATTTGAAGCTGTCATCTGTTAGTCGTCAACAAGTGTTTGTTAAGAGCAGTTTATTAGTAAATAGATTGATCTTATGTACGTGTAAATTAATTATGTACATTTACGAGTTGCCGTTCGAAATAAACAAGGAGCTGTGTAGATTACTCGACAATGATGATGATTGGAAAGAATTGGCTGGAATTCACATGAAATATTCAGCGTTTGAAGTAAACGTAAGTTTTGTATTTTATGTATGTATATATATTATGTTTTTGGACTTTCCCAGTCTAAGGTAAGGTGCTAAGGATTCAATGATTTGGAAATCCCAAGCATTTTATATTGCAATTATATGAACATCAAATGTTTTTCCTTCTTAAAAGATAATTTAAAATACGATAAAAATTGGTTTTGAATAAGACTTGATGTCATATAATATTTGTTAGTAATGAGTGCAAAACTGTTTACCGACCTAAATTTATTTCGCTAAAGCTGAAATCAAATCAAATATAGTATTATTTATATATTAATTTCTAATTGTTTTAAATATAAATCCTTAAAAACACAACATTTAAATGTAATTCTTGTTGGAGTAAAAATATCTTGTGTAGTATCTATATTTAGTATGCTAAATTTTATTCTTAGCTTATTGTTTTATGTGTTTATATAGTATTTTTCACTGTAATAAAACTATGCCACACATAATTTCATCAAATTCTGTCTAATTACAATAAAATATTTCTCTTATCTTAAAAGTGGTTATCTTAAAACAACATGAGGAAAAAACATTCTCAGAAATCTCTGTAACTGAATGGTTTTTATTAAATATTATTTTCTTCAATAAAATTATTACATTTGAATTTGGAATAAAAATTATAATGAAGTTAAATCCAAAATAAACCTTAAACTTTTTGCTACCTTTAGTACATTACCAAGCAAATATCAAAACTTACTTTTTAATGTAAAAAGTCCTAATTTCTGTTGAAATGAAAAATATAATCCATATTTTACTATGAAATTTAACCTTAACAATTTACTTAGACTGAACAAAACTACCGTCTAATATGTATTTTATATATAAATTTGATATATAAATATATTATTTATCAGGAAATAGAGCAAGTAGCAGCTCGTCAAACGTCATCTCCGACGGACCAATTGTTCAAGAAATGGGGTCAATTAAACCATAGAGTGGAAGAACTGTTCATATTACTTCACAGAATGAAACACATTCCCGCTCTAAGGACCCTTGTACCAGTTGTAGATGCGAGGTTTCATAGATTACTTCACAAACATGATAGTAAAAGCTTAAAAGACAAACACACACCGCCCAGTGAAGGTAATTAGTGTATTATTTAGTTGGTAATTTTTTTTATAGTAGATATTTTTATCTGTTTGCATATACATATTCAAATCTTATTCAGTGATTTCTTTGAATTATTTGGCTATTGAAGTCTCTCATATATATTGAGTTTAGCTATGTACTTATTACACGTAAATAATAATATCTATTTGTGTAGAGAATTATTGTAATATTAATGTATTAAAATTAATTAATTTCAGTGAACTTAAACAAGGTAAAGACACAGAAAGTTGATGGAAGTGAAAGTTCTCTACCATTACCTGTGATGCTCATTGAAAAGGTAACACAATCACATTTTCTATATCAAAAATATTTACTATTTTTACTTAAATATAATTTTTTGTACTTTTTGTATACAGGGTGTTCAACTTCCAACAGCGAGCCCGGGTATTGAAAATTCACAAACTGAAAATACAAGCACGGAATCAAGTAAAGTAAGTACTATATATATGCTAATATTTGCTAAATTTAACAATTTTTTTGATACTCATTGAGATTATTTATACTTTTTCTCATCTTATATGAAATACACCCATAAATGTGTAATAACCAAGGTATAAAGTAAAATCCTAGTAATATTTTGGATATATATAAGAAATAAGTTTTAATAATAGTTTAATATAAATAACATGAACAATTTCATAAGTGAAGACGCAAAGACTAAATAATTCTTATGTTTTACTTAGGGGACTCTTTAAATACCAATAAATTTTGTTTTCAAACATTACTGCACTACGTATTTATTTATAATTATATCAATTATAAAATTGTGTTATGTATTAGTTATGCTTGCTCGGTATTGTCAAAATAATATTATATTAAGTGTAATGTAGGTAGATCATATTACATATATTAGTTTCTGTCATTCTGTCTTGCTATCACAATACATACAAGAATTAAATATACTTTTATTGAATATACTATAATTATTCAATATTATATCTGTGTCTAGACTTACCTAAATAGAAGAAAACTACTATTTAATTATACAGGGTGACTGGTGAATTACTATCAATATCGCCGCGCGCGAGTGTGTGTGTGTGTGTATACCTAATCTGTAGGGTGTTCATACGATGCGTAATTAATTACATAACTTTTGGTTAACTTTACTTAGAAGTTTATTCATATTTATGTTATATTAATTTTTATTTTGTCATATATGATTGTCAAATATCACGTCCTCAAATATCGATAGTAATTCACCAGTCACCCTGTATATTTTCTTATTTTTACTTTAATTGTAATTATTTTTGTTATAGAACTCAACAAGCCAAGCCAGCAAAGAAGGATTTGATAATGAGTTCTTAAGGAATGTGTCAGCTATACCGATGTTGAGTTATGAAGATCTAAGAGAAGCGACTAATAATTGGAGTGAAAATAATTTACTAGGAAGAGGAGGATTTGGACAGGTTTTTAAAGGTTCTATATATTTAAAACATTTAATTTAAACATTATTATTTATAATATAAACTATAATATTATGGATCATGGAAGTTACTACCATCCTGAATGGGCAATAACTTCAAAATCACCTAAAAACAGCAAATTATAGTTCGAATACTCGCCGAAGTAGCGCTAGTGTAGCAAATGGAAATATGGACTTAAGCATTTTAAACAGAGTGAAGTATGCTTGTTTGAAAAATTTTAATATTTTTTGACTTGTGTAACAAAATGCAGTATTTAAAACTCAACTATTTACATAGTCAACCGTAATTTAGTAAATAATCTATGAAACTTCTGAAATAACGTGCATAGTGTTTTGTTTTTTATGTAATTTTCTTGATATATCTTTCTGAAAAATTTGAAAAATATAACAAAGCGAAAGTCTTTCTATCCTTTTTTATTATAGTATCCTACTATAATATTTTGTGGCGCTTTTTTATAATTTTCCACTTGCTACTGTAGCGCCACCTAAATTGATTCCCTTTCAACTGACACTTTTTAATATATTGTAACAGTTCTCCTTACTTCTACTCTCCATATACATTAAAAAACTCGATTCGATTCGCATTCGATTTATATTTTGACTGCGCAAATTTGATCATGTCTCCCATTTCAGACGTCAGTTAAAGTGGCTTCCGATTCGTTTTCGCCGTAATGTACATGTTTTGACCACACTTTTTAATATTTTAAATCACTCAACTCCACACTATCTTTACGAACGATTCAAGTTTTCTGCACCGCGTGAAAGACCACTCCGGTCTTGTGTCTTGAATAAAGTTTTTGATATACCCCCTTATAATGGTATTTTCTACAAAAAATCCTTTACGGTGGTTGCTGCTCAACTTTGGAATTCTCTTCCGGACTATATTATAAAAAATTGTAATTCTGTACATACCTTTAAATTTAGATTAAAAAAATATTATCTTTCAATTTCATCACATTAGAAATTAGATATATATGTATGTATATGTATGTGTATATGTATGTATGTGTGTATATATGTATGTATATATATATATATATGTATTTTATTTTGTATATGTATGTATATATTATTTGTATTTATGTATATTTATGTATGTTTATGTAAAGTAAAAAAGTAATAATTATTCTTTGTCACTAAAATTCAAATTGTACCTACCTTCCTGTAATTTTAATATAATATTACTCACACTCCAGGGTGGCTGGAAGAGATCTCTCATAGAGATAAGCTTTCCTTTGTATCACTTTGTTTCTTTCTTATTCTTATTTTTCTGTCTTACGTGTTCTTGGTACATAAATAAATAAATAAAAAACTATTTTTTTCAGCCATTTCGTGATTTTTGTACCATAATTATTATTTTTTTTGATTTCATTCGTAATATTGTGTTCCAGGTGAATGGAAATTACTCCCGGTAGCCGTTAAACGTCTTCGTGACAATGATGATAAGAACAGAGAGTTAATACGAGAAATGTGTCTCAATCAATACAGACACGATAATATATTACCGTTATATGGATATAGTTTGGGTGGTGAGTAGATTCTTAAATACGCTTCACACTCAAGTAAAGTAGTAGAGTAGAGAATTTATAATATAAATGATGATTATTACTTATATACATATAAATCAATTGTATGTATGTATGGATGTTTATCTTACACGGAAAATATACTTAACGGATTTTGATAAAACTCTCCAATGATGTACATTATACAAATCATTATTTCTATGTATTTTGGATTTAATTCGAACACATAACAGCTGTTGTATTGTGTATGAAGTTATATGACACTGACGATAGATGGCCTTGACGGTTAGGTACATATTTATTATGTTAAGTATTATTGATTTTTCTCTGAATATAATATCAAAATAATGCGGACGAAGTCGCGTACATATAATAATTCCTTTATATATAGATCATATCTAGCTCAGTTTTGTTTTTATTAAAAATCTTCTATAACATGTGACATAACTATAGACTAATTTTTAACGGACCAAAAAATACTATAAATTTATATACATTATACAAATCTAATTTTCTTTAATACATATAATACATAGACAGATTCTAACGATAATAATTATTTTAATATTTGAGGAAACAAAAGCAAAAAGTTATCTAAAATGCCATTTATTAATAATATTTACATTTAAGGACCTGAAGCGTGTCTTGTATATCAATTGATGGCGGGCGGGTCACTGGAACAGAGACTAAGGTATTATATAATAATATCCCTACTAATATTATAAATGCGAAAGTAACTCTGTCTGTCTGTCTGTTACGTTTTCACGCCTAAACCACTGAACTGATTTTAATGAAATTTGGTTAAGACATAGAGTTGACCTTGAGAAAGGACATAGGATAGTTTTTATCGCAGACTTTTGAAAGCTTTTCTTGGAAACGCGATATAACCGAACTCCACGCGGGCGAAGCTGCGTGCGTAGAGCTAGTATTTAGTATAAACACACATACAACACCAACATATTCATGTTTTATAATTAACATATATATGTATATGAAATTGATTTAATATATTTTGCTTGAATTATAATTAATTAATGATATTATTACTGAGTGCATAATTGTTTCTTTGTTTTAATCTTAAAACCTAGATATTTAGGACATCGATATATTAAATGTAGAAAAATAATGTTTTGCTAGGGTATAACATAATTAAAATTTAGTGCATACAATAAAATAGATATAACCATTAACAAACAAAATATTATTATTATATTAATTTCTATTTTATAAAGGTACAAAACATCACACCCTCCGTTATCATGGAATCAAAGGTACAGAGTCGCTCACGGTGTTGCCAGGTCAGTATTAATTATATTTTTATCATAATGTTGCCAGGTTATAAACAAAAATATAACAATGATTTTTTTTAATTTAACTAGTAACATATAGTATGACATTTAGTCAACATATATGTAAGAATAATATTTATTTTTATTCAGAGGTCTTCAATATCTACACACGATGGCGGGAACACCACTAATTCATGGTGATATTAAACCGGCTAATATTCTTCTTGATCAATGCACTATGCCTAAAATTGGCGACTTTGGTCTAGCAAGGAAAGGGCCTTATGGTGAAGACAGAACACATTTAAAAGTCTCCAGGTATATAATACTTAGATTTATATTAAATTAAACCCTATTTGTATTAGAAATAAAGATCAGTTTTGAATGTGTTGTACAACTGTAATGACTTATTAGATTATTGAAAATTGAAATATTTTTCAAATCTTCTCTTTACTTCTATTGATGTTTATAACGTGTAACATTACAAATTTGTATTGTATCTGAAAATTAAGTTTTATTCATAGACTTAAATACATAGTCACATAATACAATGTACTGGTTTCCCCATCCACCCCATCCCAAAATTCAATTAAAAATTAAACAAATGGGATAGTACTGTGAAGTTAAGTAGGAGATATTATAATTTTGTTAAATGTCATAAATTTTAACATACACATTTGAGATCTAGGATTTTTGCAAGTTTTATTCATTTAAATGAAACTAATGTTTTTTAGATCATACTATGCGACTTTATTTTAATAAAAAAACGGAAGGAGATCTATGATCGTCTGCCCGTGATCACGGTTGCTGTAAAGTAGCCGAAACGTCGGAAGTATGTAGTTTTTATCAAATATAAAGTCGCGTAGTATAATCTAAAAAATATAGTTTCATTTTAACATATTTACTTATAATCATAACTATGGAAGTATTTTGTTATGTAATACTGTGTATATATGTTCTTCCTGGCAACCTCCCAGCTTTAGCCAGGGTCTATCAAATTGTACATATCATCATCATCCTATCAGAGCCCACTGCTGAGCAAAGGCGTCTTTCTCACATGGAGAAGGTTTGAGCATTAATCACCACGCTTGCTCAAGACGGGTTGGTGATTTCAAACTTATAATTGTGAAACTATATCCAGGTTGCCTCACGATGTTTTCTTTCACCGTATGTCAGTGATGTCTAAATACTCTCAGAAAGTACATATGACTCGGAAAAATCACATTGGTACTTGCCAGGTTTGAACCCGCGCCCTCGGCAACGAGAGGCGGGCCCCTTAACCACTAGGCCACCACTGACTTAATATATATATAATAAATCATATATCATTAATTTTGTTCCAGAGTGCACGGTACCCGTCCCTATCTACCAGATGAATATCTTCGCTCGCGTTGTTTATCTCCCGCGGTAGATGTATTCAGTTATGGAGTTGTTATGTTAGAAATGGCCACAGCTTTACCAGCCATTGATAAGACGAGATCTGTCTTACTTCTGAGTGATTATATGCAACAATTGGCGAGCGAAGGGGTGGATTTTGGTGAGTTATAATCATATCTTTAATGTTATCAATGCTTTTGGTACCATGATTTCAATGTTATGTAATAAATTGGAGTTTTATTATAATGCATGTTTAAAATTTATCCAATTAAGATAAGTATAACATAAAAATTTCTTGCACTATATCTGTTTACATAATTTATCTTGATTCGTTGGACTTAAAGTTGACGTTAACAATAACTATAAAAATGTCATGGCTGATATAGTTTCTTAATTATACCAATGATAATTATTTAATTAAAAAAAATCCTTTAAAAACTATTCATGTAGTTTAATGATATTTAATTAATATATTTTGATTATATTTATTATATTTATTATTAATTTTAGTTATTCACACTTTCAGGTAATTTCGAAGATAGAATACTCAAAGCGATAAACAATTCTAATGTCCATCTGTGTAGAGAATTCGTCTCAATAGGACTCCATTGTACAAAATATTCTCGTCAAGAGAGACCCAACATGCTTGAGGTGTATAAAAGACTGAACGCCATGGAATTTCCTGGAAAGAATTTAACTTGAAATAAAATATATTTATATGATTATATGAAACAATATAAAAAAGAAATGATAACATTTTTAATCTATGGTTATTGTATTATAATATATTAGTTTGTATATGAAATTATTATCGTAATGAATGATAATTTAATAAATACGAAATTCGAGTTCACTTCAATCTTTTAATAAATTCAAGTATTAGAAAAAAAACTGACGCGCTATATGTGACATTTGATGGATGTCATCTTAATCTGACATTATGGTCTTTAAAACCGAAGTCCGAACTTATTCTAATATGTAATAGATAATGTATATAAAGAAGTGTTATAAGCGTATGTAACAACTTACTGTAAGTAATTATATTACTTTCAACTCTGCCCGCAGTAAAGGGTTTTTATATGCTATGGCTTCATTCACACTGGAATCGTGGAATATTATGAAAATTACGATTTTAATAATCTACCTATATACACTATATAGAGTCAAGGTGTGTAAATTTTGCTGTATTGACTATTGAACTGTGAAAAAGACTTAAAATAAATTGATATCGTTTTTAAAGTTTACATCTGAAAATAATTCTCGAAATACTTGAGTATCAACTGTCTGCAAATAGGTTGGTGATGAAATTTGTCGTACGTATAAACGTCTTTTTTATTACTTATTAGTGTGTGGACTTGAAAGATTATTTATGCTATTTTGTAAACATATTACAGAAATTATATTTAAAAAGGAAGGTCACTTGATAAGACCGCCATTTTATTTTTGGTGAATAAAATAATATATTTACAAAAAAAAATCTTTTTAACACGTTTAAAGGTTGATTATGATTTTTATATCTTGTTATGAAAAATTGTATACTATTGTAATGAAGGCCAGTGTACAAAATTATTTTCTATAAGATTTATATTTACACATGTTAAATTGTCACATTTCTACTTTTATAATAAATTTTAAATATATAAATTACCCCTTTTATTTCATTTAAGGTCTTTTAAATTTGAAATACAGTTTCTGTATTTAAAATTTATGTATTTTGTGATGACAGAACTTTACAGTAGTAGTTTTTTAAATAGATGATAAGTAGCACTTACAGACATGTAAAAGATTTTAGATAAAAACATTTTTCCTCCTTTAACTTATTGTCAATAGTTAAAAATCAAGATATACTGTAATCTAAGTGTTATTGAATATTTCAATATTAATAAAGTTTAAGTTGTAATAAAACTAAACTATAGGTACAGCAGTTAACATGAGGCATGTTTTTCTAATGACTATGAAAATTAATAATATTAACTGCCATCAAGTCTCTAAGTAAATAAGTAGAAGGTTAAAATAGAAGAGGTATTAACATGATAAATAAATCTGTTAACTTCAAACATGTTTTTAGAAACGGCAACACCATTTGTTTTTGTTGCTAACACAAAGTAAAAGTAACATTTAATAACTAAAGATTGCCAATTCCTATTAAGTTAACCAATTAATACACCATTAAACCATTTCAAAGTTCAAGACGTTGATGCACATTTAGAGGAAAAGAATATAAAATATGTACTAAACATAAAAAGAGGCTTAAAAAAAATCATATTTGAGATTCAATCAAAATATATTTTTATAACATTACATCCACATTTACAATGTATATTGTCATAACAACACACTGGGAGACAGATGTTGGGACATAATAAAATACTGATAATTTACATTTAAAAATACATACTATAAAATTAATGTATGCAATTTACTCATAGAATTTTCACCTCATTGTTTAAAATTAAAAATTAGTAATTACAAAGGAATTGTGTATGTCAGAAATATTACATGATTTTTAGTTGTATTCTGTATAATATATATAAATTTAACTCAAATATAACCAAATAAGTTGTTAGTCACTGGTGTGGTATATTTATCCAGGTAGAGTAAAATTTTAATTGTAGACAACATTTCTTTTATCAAACAAAACATCGATTACACACATCTACATAACTACCAATATTACATCTAAAAATATTATAAAAATGGACATAATAATTAAAATTTTAATCAATCTGGATGTAACACATTTTATATACACGAAAACAATAAATTACTGGAAATTTATGACTGATGTAGATTTCTAGGGCACATTCATTCATAGTAACAAAACACAACAATTATTTGATAACAACGATTGGATTTAATAAGAAATTCAATATATATTTAGCTGAAACGATACAATCATTGGCTATTGTCCGAAAGAGTTCTGATAATTTCGATGGAGACGGCGTCCTCGTGCTAATAGAACCGCTAGCTTCTTTACACTCAATACATTTGACTTCATAACATTTAATATTCAGATTTCTATGACCGATATTATATGAATCTTGATCATTTAGTAAAACACCTTTAAAATTAATTTTATCATCCGAACGTAGAAGGCGCGTAAAATTTGTAAATAGATGGTCAAACGTCAGAATGATTTCCGAATGACGTTTCAATAAGCCGCCGTTAGCTTCCATGTTGACTGTTATTTCGTATGTGTATCTGTAAAATAATAAATTTAGACTTAAGATTTTGTAAATATAGATTTTTTTACGCAAGTTTAGGTTACGTAAGAATAAATTTTGGATCTTTAGCCTTTGCATTACACTGAAACCATTATATTTTTTCTGTATATTAAATTATTTAATTTAAAATTTGTAGTTTAAAAACTATTTCACTATATTAGTAGTAAAATAAAATAGTAAAAAATATATACTTTTCATAAGCAAGCACGCAGAACCAACAAGATTTAAGTCGAATATTATTACAATAAAAGTTTAAACATTATAAGTAGCCATTTAATAAGACAAAGAATTTAATATATGTATATTTTTATAACTTACTCATTATAATTATTCAAATGACAACTCTTGCCGCTCTGTTCAGCCACTGTTTGGACAAATTCGCAATCAGACACGTCATTTCGGCACAAACTAGAAAACTCTTCGCCGTAGTAACATTTGAAGTACTCCGATATAATTTGCGGCAACCAGCTAGCGAAAGTATTCCATTGATTCCTAACATTTTTTACTCTAACATCTTTTACATAACCCGACCAGTTAACGTGAGCTCCGTCTAGTATTGAACACTTCATTTGTGTGGTCGCCATATTTTTCTCATTCCAAGATGGTGAATTACATTGATTGTAATAATCGTCCCAGTTAATATGATATAAACTGTCTTCGTAATCTGTTATGAATTCGTTCTTCAGCAGGTTTTTGATACTGGATTTTTCATCTCCAATGATTTCTATAAGCCCAGACGCAATGCCATCTTCTTGAATGTTCACAGCGAATTGATTTCCAGTGTATATTAATGTTATTAGGCCTATAGCGATCTGAAAAACTAAAAAAAATTAATAGCCATGATAAAGAAAATATATATATTTTGTATTTTGTACTACGCACCTGAAATGGAGTGACAAACTTCTTTGTTGATTCAGATTTCGCAAGAAAACATGTTACGGTTAAACCAACGACCAGCCAAATAAGAACCGTCAATGTATACAATAGTTTGGACATAGTGACGTATTGAAGGAAAGCTATTATTGGTAAAGTCACTGTTACAATGCCCATTAAAGGTAGAAATAGGAACGTACAAACTAAAGCCAGGGTACCCCTTATCAAACCATAGGTTGTACAACCGTGAGAACAGGTTATGAACATCTGCAACCAGCTTAAAGTCACGCAATGTGGTAGGGTGTACTTCAATACGCCCTGCCAATTATTCCTTTTCGCCATCACAGCTAGTATTATAGGTATCAGTAGAGAGAAGAAAACACGAGCGTTCAAGCAAAATTCGATGCTATTCCCAAGTATATAAGACGGATAATTGGATATATGCAAATCCAAAAACCTCCACCCTTGATGCACGACAGTATCTTTCTCATAAGGATATTTTGCGAGAACGTTTATACCGAAGGAAATCAAAGCCAAAATATCCGGATAAGGACTTCCGTTCGTGCCAAAAGATATCAGCGTCAGAAACATGAGACAGAAAGACAAAACACAGAATTCAGAAAACGGCACCCATTGGGTAGCGATGAACGGATATAAGAACAGATTCACGAACAACGCCAGAAAAAATTGGACAAACGGCGTCAAATTGTTCCGTACAAATAGATCTTCAGACTCATCCGGCTGTAAATTACCGTCGCTGTACCGTAAAAACAGACCGGACCATTTACGGAAATCTATAAACTGACGTTTGGCCAATAGCATCTTGAATGTACATATAACCATGGCGATTATACTGACATAATAGAAAACTAACGGGACTAGATGATACAAACTATCCGTACTTACGGACAAATAGCATATAAGAAGGACTGATAATTCGATATTCGACAGCCTAAAAGAAAAAGACCCAAAATAGTAGAGCAGTTTGAGGTACAAAACCTGCAAAAATACTATAGGATGTAAAAAAGCCTGGTGTAATATGGGAATGTGATCTAAAGCCTTCACGCTTGGGTCAGTTAAAGTCAACTCATAGCTCACTAAAGGTAACTCTCCCTGACAATAGTCGACTGCAGCTGAAACTAGATTATCCACCGTTAGGTTCCGTATATCGTCATTCTGACATCTATCAGGGTAATCTGTGGAAAAAATAATATATATACTTAAAAAATATAATTATTAACTAAATATTTCCTATAAAATTTGGCTGTTATTGTAGTTTACAGGCAAACGTGATAAAGAAGCTTATACCTACTTATATTATAAATGCGAAACTAACTCTGTCTGTCTGTTACGCTTTCACGCCTAAACCACTGAACTGATTTTAATGAAATTTGGTACAGGCAGAGTTGACCTTGAGAAAGAACATAGGATAGTTTTTATCCCAGACTTTTGAAAGGTTCTCTTGCAAACGCAATATAACCGAACTCATCGCGGGCGAAGCTGCGGGCGGAAAGCTAGTATAATATATACTTAATTTATAAAGGCTGAAGGAAAATCTTTATAACACTTTAGTAGCTATTTCGGTTTGAAGTAAAAAAATTGAAAAATGTTTAATAAATCCAACTAAACAATATGAATATTTGACCTGACCACTATATCTTGGTCCCATGTCAGGTACAAAATGTTCTATTTATGAGGTCATTCAATATAATACAAAATCCATTTGTATTTCTTACCTTCGTTCACATCATGGGTCCTTATAGTACCATTAGTATGTATGTGGTCACCGGCTTGAAGTTTGGAAGGCTCTAAGGCTTGTTCATCCAACGATCTCTCTTCTTCTGTTAAAAAAATTTTCCTTTATAACACCACATTATTAAAATATTGATATTATTAAACAAATTATATTACATTAGGTATTTATTTATACTTTATTTTAAGTACCGAATGGGTTTTTATATGATTTCTGGTTAACAAAGATAATACATTGTTTGTAATTACTTAGTTCTTATCTGAAATACATTCGGCTAACTTAAATCTTGTCATCATGAATAAAATCAGCTACATTCTTGAATTCATTAAATTTTATTTTAGGTGAAAGAAAAGTTGCCTTTTAATATAATAGAACTAAATTTCAAAAGTTCAAAGGCACTGGCAAATAATGTGTAAGCGACTTTACATTGCTTATAATTGTTACTAACTTACGTATTGATAATGAAATCTAAGACTTTCGCGAGTATTCATTGGAATAAAACTAATATTTTTGGCTGTACTAGGCGTTTTTTATTATTTTCAACTAGGTACATATTCCCGATGTTTTGGTTACTTTGCAGCAAGCGTGATCACGAAGACAAGATGAGAAGAACCAAAATCACAATTAAAAATAAATTTATTTCAACCTGTATTAATGTTATCGACTAACAATTACTAGTTGTTACTATTTTATTACCAACCATTATGGTCTGTTACCAATTTATTACCAGATGTTACCATGTGTTACCGTTTGTTACAATATGTTACCATTCGTTACCACTTGTTACCATGTGTTACCTGGCGTTTCATCGTCCAGTGAGTCTTCCCCAGGGCCCTTCCTTAGAGTGGTAGCACATATCTCCCTTATCCGCCTCTCCAATTGAGCCGTTGTTATATATTGCTCGCCGTTTGATAAACTGCAATTAATTGTTTATATTAGTTATTTAAACTAACTTCATACAATAAATTAAATTAATTTATGATATGAGAAACATTTATTCTGTTTTTGAAGTGCAACTTCTTATGCGACTTCCAGCAAGGTTGCGTTAACGTTTAACGCTCCTGGGGAGGGGATAAAGAGAGAGCGAGAGGAAATGCGTGGTGCTCGAACGCTTGCTGGCAATCAATTGTGACTTGTAAGTTATGTTAATAAAGTTTGTCTTTAAGAAACACTAAAAATTGCATAAAAATCTATTGGAATAAAAACAGGAAGGGGTTGCAAGTTTAATGACAACAAACAGATTATTATTACACATACAAAATAATTTTTAGTTTTAAAGAATTTGTGTTATATTTAGGACTTAAAAGAGTTCTTTCGATAGTGACTTTAGTAAAATTGTTTAACAATTCTGTTAAAAAATGTAATTAAAAAATGATATATATTGAAATGAGAAAATCTTTCAATGTTTGATAGATTATGAACTAATTTACGAAATTGATGACTTAATCAAGATTTTTTAACATTATACAGGGTGCTTTGATCAAGAAAATATGTACAATGACTTGGTACATTATACAGGGTGTTTCACTGTTAAATCCTGTATTTAATGATAACTACCTCGCAAAAAGATCCCTAGCAGCTTTCCTCGCGACCGTTTCTTGACGGCTCGCTGCTAAACATGATTTCGCCCGCACTATAGGAGCACTGTCTTCATCTATAACACCACTCCGAATACAGCTGAAATAAAAATATAATAACAATAAGTTCAATATAGTAAAAAAAAACCTATATTTAGTTGATTAAATTAAAACCAGGAATGTTAGTATGACAAAATTCATCGAAACGAGCAGATTTTAACCAGAAATTTATGGTATACTAGCTGCGCCCCGCGGTGTTAAAGTAGCCTGTGTTATTCCTGGACGTCAGCTTCCTGTATAAATTTTTTTATCAAATTCGGTTCAGCTGTTTGAGCGTGAAGAAGTAACAAACGTACACACACACTCACAAAATTTCGCAATTATAATATTAGTAGGATTATGTTGCAGTTATTTTAAAAACTAAGCTAAGTATAACACCTAAATAAATTCCGCGAATTACATTTCTTATATATATAAGAGAAAATTTTTGTTTTATATGATTTAAGAAACAGCCTCACATAGAATTCTGAAGTTCTAAACGAACTTTGTCCCATTTCACTTTCCATATCGCAAAATCCTCATAATCCCGATTCATTTATAAAACACTTACACAGCGAAAGACTCGAAATGAGACATCTCAACGATCGACACTTGTTTACCGACGATTATGTAAACAACTATAAAAGAATGTAAATATTCAACAAATTTTGTTTACCTCATATCATAACTTCAAACAATAGTAGGAATCCAAAGAAATATTTTTTAATAAAAATTGCTTGTATTATGTCATTGTTATGTAGTTATTGTCTTTTTAATTCAGGTTGACATAATAATGTAAAAAGTTTACGCTATAATAAACCTCTTTAGATTATAATTTATATATTTTTAGCTGACGTGGCAAACTTTTTTTTGTCATATAAAGAAATAGAGGTTGGTGATAAGAAACGAAAAATTTTGGGTTGTATGTATTTTTTAATGCTACATTATAAAAAAAATAAAAACGAAAAATTTCGTCACAAAAAAAATTAGAGGGAACAACCCTTATGACTTTGGGGCATGAAATATAGATGTTGGCCGATTCTCAGACCTACTCAATATGCTTACAAAATTTCATCAAAATCGGTTAAGCCCTTCGGAGGAGTTCTCTGTCTAACACCGCGACACGAGAATTTCATATATAAGATAACATAATCCAAAAAAAAAAGACAATAAAGTCAATTGTTTGACTACGTAATTATTAAAAATATGAGGGGCACACTTTTGGATTAAACTTTCAATTAAAAAAATTAAATATAGATTTTGAGGTACAAAAAAAAATTATTATCACATCTACCACTTGCTGCAAAGTAACCGAAATGTCGAAATGTAGTTTAAAATAATAAAAAACGCGTAGTAATCCGAAAATATTAGTTTTATATAAATGAATACTCGCGACTCTTAGATATCATTTTTAGTGCAACTGAGAAATAACATCAGTATGAGTACATATTTAATTTTTATACTCTTATATTTAAATTCAAGCAAACTCAATAAAATTGAATTTATATTACAAAAAACTCATCAACACAAGCAGGCTTGAACTCGTACTTGCAAGATAATGGTATGTAAATGTTTTTCTTATTATACTATCATGTCCTTTGTAAATTTAATTATGTGCATATATATTATAACGCAATTTATAATAATTAATCAAATTTTTCAAGGTTTAAATTTCATAACTTTTCTTTTAGATTCACATATACTATTTGATAATTTATTTCCAATGATAAGACATGATTGAACAATCTATATACATAACTTTTTCTTATGAGTTTCATAATAAATTTAAACTCAACATTTGTGTTATTAAAATTTATAAACAGAAATGTTACATATAAACAACTGTGTTTACTCATCATTGATAAAAGATAACCCATTTATATTTCTAATAACAAGACTATAAAGATAAAAAATAAAAACAAAAGAATTTTAAAAAAGTAATCAATTTTGCTTTTTTATTACCAAATTAATTATGATTTAAAATGTAATAAATTATCAGAGGAATTTGGTATTAGAAAGGCTGAAAAAATAAACTCGGTAAATATATTGTTAAAACACTCACCGACTTAGCATTCTCCGAGCTTCTGGATGTGCTTGCTCTGTGGCACATATTAACCAATCCAATGCCTGCTTAAAGTTTGATATTTTATCCGCTTCTAATTCTACAAATATATACAATTTCTTTTTAAGTTCTATATATATAATAAAATTATTATGTATATATAAATTGAAGTCGTACCACATTTTTCTTCCAACAATTGTTTGGCAAGAACTACTTGTGATTCTGCACAGCCGTCTTCCGCGAGCTGATTGCGAAGACGTCGCAACGAGCCCTGAGGTCCATCTGAAGGAAGATATACCTCAAAAAGTACATTATCTGATGTTACATGCGTTTGACAAGACTATAATTCAATTTATAATCAATAAACATCGAATACAAGGTCATGTAGAACAGTCGTATATATTATACACCCACAACTTTATTTCGATATCATTCTAAAAGTAAAAATTTAGTTATATATAGATTAAATTTAAGTAAGTAGTTCAATACGTTATAACGAAATTTTTTTTATAATTATTTACAGTGTTTAATTACTTACCATGCAAATTCCATCGTTTTCGTCCAGATGGCATAACTTAGATCTATTACCTATATTTCTCTTAACACACACTTTAAATAACTTATAATTTTACATACAATTCACTGTAATTTTCTAAATATTTTAAAAATTTCAATCACAAAATCGCTCGTATGTCACTTCTATTGTTGTCATTGATTGATATATGACTTTGATGTTTTTGATACGGAATAGGTAATAAAAACAGTATTTTTTATATTAAATTAATTACCTTTTTTAAGAATGGTACATAAATAAGATAGATGTGCTCTCATTTAATAGATAAAACAAAATATTTATTATTATTAAGCAAGAATCAAAAATGTGAAAATATTATTTGAAATTTTGAATGAAATAAGAAGTCTCAAATAATAAAAATCAGATAGTGCAATCGTCATAATACGACCACGGTCCACGACTGTGTAGTATTCCTCATTTGTATAACAATATAAACCATTTTAAAATAGCATCGCCAGGATGAAGTTGGGTTGAACACTTCCTGTTTATTTTGAAGTCACTAATGATCCTTTAGGCAAGGGGTGGCCAAAAATAAAATAAGTTTGGAGGAAACTTTGTTTTTTTACTAAATCACTGTTTATTATTTTCTGTCATGGCCAATACTAGTTTAATTCTTGTTGTCTTAATAAATGTTATTAAAAGTGGAAATATATATTATGAAAAATCTAAGTTAGGTTTTTGATCGAAACATAGAAATCTATTCTAGGTATGTTCGTATACATTTTAATGAATTTAGAAATAGCTTTGTTTGAATATGTTTATATATATCTGTGTTATGTATACCTATGTTTGAATTAAAGTCGGGTTAAGGAATTCAGTAATCTCTATCTAGGAAACTTAATTGACCTATCCTAACTTGACCGCAAAACTGGAATATTTGGTTTCCTGTATTCGGTTCTAACTTCTGTTTAATTGTATTAGTACTATAAACATTCATGATAATTATATAGTTCCGTTCATACTCTACGGATTCCAAAGGATACTCTAAGGATTCCAAAGGTAAATTCGAAAAGTTCATTTTCGCTGCTACTTTAAACTAGCATTGAAACAAGTAGTATAATATTTTTACAGATTTTAAATTTTTTGTTAATAAATCCTTTTTTACGATATTTCTGTGGATATTAATGTAAATAAAAAAGTTTTAATGGTAACACTACTAACCTGTAAACATCAATAATTCATGTTATAACCTCTTCCCAGTTCCCACAGTTGCAAACTGGTGCGGAAGGATAGTGTTTGAGTGTATCAGTGTATACAACGATCAGAAAGTGCGCAACTGCATATGGTGTCTTAAAATAGTCATATTATCAGTTATATTCTCATTGTTTTGTGTTAAAAAAACATAACAAAATGCTAACTCCGAGATTTAAGTTATCTCAAGACGAAAATCATGTGTTTATAACCGTACATGCACCTTATACAAATATCGGCGAGTCGGAGATCGATATTGATGGCGAGAATTTTCTATTTGTGTCTAGTCCATACTTCCTTAGACTACGACTACCTGGAAAAATTGTTGAGAACGATCGGTCAAAAGGTTCTTATATCTGTGATTCTGGGGATTTCAATTTCACGTTCGACAAAGAAACGCCTGGAGAACACTTCGAAAACCTCGATATGATTACCAGCTTGCTGGCGCCCCGCGATATACCCGATGTGAAATCCAAATCTAGTTGAAATGCTCGAAGAAGATGGCGTAAATATATCCGACAATGAAGATGATGATAAGGCCAGCGTGGAGGAGGAATGCAATAAATACTCATATGGATTTGCAAACAAAATAACAACAGACTTCAAAGATATTGGCGAGGAATTTCCGCAGATATTCGAACTTCGCGTACCAGAAAGAGTACCTATTGAAGAACGGAATGAATTGCGCGAAAAATACGAAAACCATAAATTTTCGTCGGATCACTATTTGGCTGATTTGTATGAAGAAGAATTACTGGCTCCTCACCTAGCAGTGGTCACAGAGTGGTGTGCACCCGATTTTAATAAAGAAATCGATTTCACAGATGAAGAAGTTAGCATATTAAAGGAATTGCCAAATAAACATTACTTATTGAGCAAAAAAGAGCAAAAGCAAGTGTTTATGGGACTGGTTGATATATTATATGGTTATTGTTATGATAAACGCACAACTCAAAACGAAAGTAACGTGGAATCGAGTTGGACAATTAATAAGTTGTCACCAACTTTGAGTTGCTTTTGCATATTTAAAGATACCAAAGAAGTGCTTATTGCCTGCTATCGGCGCGCTCTCGTATTTCCGATATTTCGTAACTTTGAACTATGCACAAAAGTACACAAAGACTTGGTAGCATTATTGAAGATAGGAAAGAAATATGTCATCAAATGTCTGATCAGTATTTTTAGTATGTTCAATCTAAATACCGAAGCAAGGTACATATTAAACCAGTTGTATATCAAGGATTATTTAATATTTTTACAAAAATGTCGCGCCGAGGAGTTTGATCAGCTCGCCAATGAAATTGATGATATTGTAATATTGAAAAAGGATTTAGGACTTGAATTAGATGAGTTGGAAGCTGCAGCAGAAATGGTTAAACTTGAAGAGACTCAGATAATGGAAAATGAAATGGCTGTAAAGATGGCTCATATGTCACTATTACCCGGACTTAAGAAGGCTACATACATGAGCAGTGATGAGACAGATGAGTCATCCGATTCAGATGATTCTTCGAGCGATTCAAGCAGCGATTCTTCTTCCAGTGATTCATCTGAATGGGATTCAGATGATGAGAGATCCTGAGGGTACTTTTAAATTGGTGTGAGTGAAGTGAATTGACTTCATTGGACACCAATAAAGACAAAGTTATGTGATTTAGTTGTTATTATTAAGTTTAATATTTGTAAATGTTGCATTTATAACTTGTAATGATGATAAAAATATAAACGGAATGACTGATTAAGTATATTGTTGTAATGAGGAGGAAATGTAGATATTTGGAATGTGTATGTTATATACAGAATTAGTATAAGATATTGTTGGTCCTATATTTGGCTATGGTTGAATCTCTTATTGTTATAGCTTAAAAACATACCATCATAAGAACTAAAGTACTAAGTGTTATTTGTAGAATGTCATCCATATATGATAAATGTTAAAGATTGTATATATGCAATTATCATACACAAAATATTTCAAAATGATGTTGGATAAAATTCTATGTATTTAGCTTTAATTATGGAATATGAGGATGAATTTTGTTCATAGAATGGTAATAAATTGGAAAAGTTAAGATGATTTGATTGTAATTATTATTTCAGTGTTATATTAATGTACAGAAATATCTGTTTTTTATAGATTACATTAAGGAATATTGTCAACATTTTATATATCATAGTTGCCAACATTTTAAATGCTTCTAAGTATCATATTAACTATCACTTGATAATTATAGGTGGAAATGATTAATACATAATTGTATGACAATTTACAAATATTATATGGATGTTCTCTTTTCTAATTAAATATATTTCGAATGTAATTATGGATGTCTTAAGAAATTTTAATGTTAAATCTATTGAACAATGAATGTTAGTTTGAGTGCGTTGTAGTGATGTGCCGATCGCAAATTATATCGATAAATACGGTTCTTATATATTGTATCTAATTATCTATATGAATGATGTTACAAAAACGGTTTTTTCGCATTTTTCGTATTTTTTTCACCTTTTCACAGATTATATGAAGTCTTAAAATGATATTAAGAGTTAATTAGCCAAAAGAACTGCCAAAGAAATTGAGGTTCAGTTTTTCTATTTTATATTAAGTGATACAGAAGCGGGTATTTTTTGAAGTGAAACTTCTTATGTGATTTCCAACAATGTTGCGTTAAACGTTTAACGCTCCTGGGGAATGGCGTAGAAAGAGACGGAGTGAGAGTAAATGGGTCAATAGTGAATTGTAAGCAATGTTTATAAAGTTTGTCTTAAAGAAACAATATAAGTTCACCAAAAGTTTATATTTACCCCTTCCTATTTTCATAACGAAGTTTCACTTCTTCTGCGCTGAGGGATTTCACGCACAATTTTTTGTCAAGTACAGCAATTTGACTCGTATTTTGAAATCATAGTTAAAGCGTCTTGATGCTTTAAGTAAAATAAAGTATTTCGTCTTGTATAGTTTTACATCAATACTCTTTCATCTGTATATGTAATTTCATACAGTGCACAATTTACGAAAGTTACTTATACCGATATTTCTCTTACCGTGATTTACAAACACATGCAAATATTGCAACCCCTATTATAATTAAGAATATAATAAATATATTGTTATTAAGTATAAACTTTTATTACTCGATAATTTTCTGTAGTAACATAAGTTATTAATCATAAATGGTAAAATCTATTTGTCGCTTCAAACTTTTTTATAATTTGTATTAGTCTGAAAAAAAAAAAGATTTGAATCCATTGTTACGAGAAATTTTAGTTTTTAATAAACCTTAAGTGTTCTGGAATCAATGAAACATTCATATTTATTATATGGTTAAAACATTTTGGATAAATCTCCAAATATAATCCAAACATAATTACGTGAATAGAATTCTAATGAGGAATCTTGAGTGTACTTAAAATATTCGCGGGGGATTTAAATGGACTTCTCTAGAAGCAGAAAGTGACAGTGATGTGATTTTATATATTTTAGTGGAAATGTTCGATTTATAAGGTAATAATTTTCTATAAAATGTGGAAAGCTGAATGACTGATTAAGTATAGAATGGTATAATGAAAAGAAATGTAAATATGTGGAAGTAGTATAGATAATTACGTAATATGTAATTTCAGTATGAGATTGTTTTATACCTATACTTTCGATACCTTTTTATTTTTGAAATCTTATAGATTTTTTTCTATTTTTATACTGTAATCTATATTGTAGATATACATAAGCTTTTCTTTACTTGACGAGCCCAGTGATAGAATTTCCATTAACTGTGTCTGTAATGATTTTGTATAGATTGGCTGTGTATATTCAACTTGCATATTAAATGTTAAAATATAAGTACATCACTACATACTCGTAAAAATATTCCAAACGGATTATTCTAGAACAATGTTATCATTTATTAATATTGGAAGCAAAGCTGTAGGTTAAACTCTAGCTAGTAAGATTTTCGAATTTCAAATATATTACAATTTCAGTATTATATAAATGTAGACGAGTTGATGTTTATATGGAATAGGTTCGATAATAAGGATGTTATTAAAATAATATAAGGCTTTTGAATTTATTGGTATAAAAAAACTGGCACTACTGTTGATTATAGACTGTTGGAAATATTCATGTGATTGTATAAATATTTAGAAAAATGTATAATGATATCCTAAAATTTTTATCTGTGTCCAATTTCATAGGAATGTATCTTAAAAAATATCTATCTCAAGGTGGCACTTCACTTGGCGTTGCGTATTCGCCGTATTTGTCCAAATATTTGTACGTAGTCCAAATAGCGCAAACATGACATCCACACTTGGCATGTCAACAATACGTCGTTACGCGTTTTCGCTTCTTTGTGTATGTCTTATTTGTGCAAAAATGTCAAATAAAGACGAATAAACCTTCCACACATGGTCTTATTTGGCCGAACACAACAAATAAACGCCAAGTGAAGTGCCTTTATAACTATTGAACATTGAATGTTAGTAGTTACTATTGATGTTATATGAAATATTGTAGAACAATAAATATTATGTCAGCATTTTCAGTACTTTTTATTAAAAACTAGCTTTCCGCCCACAGCTTCTCCCGCGAAGAGTTCGGTTATATCGCGTTTCCATGAGAACCTTTCAAAAGTCTGGGATAATAACTATCCTATGTTCTTTCTCAAGGTCAACTTTGTCTGTACCAAATTTCATTAAAATCAGTTCAGTGGTTTAGGCGTGAAAACGTAACAGACAGACAGACAGTATTACTTTCGCATTTATAATATTAGTAGGGATGTAAAGAACTATATATCATTCATTTATCAGCCAACATTGAGTCATAAACTTCCTACTAACAGTTTTGAAGTATTTTTAATATATTATCAGTTGATATATGATAAAAACCTGGAAATCTATGTTAGTTTAATAATTAAAACATTTAGTAAGGATACTTTATGAAAATATGAGAAATAGTACATGGTTTTAAAATCAATGAATATAGCATTGTTTGAACTATTTATTACACTTCAACAAGCAATGGTTACAAGAAATATTTAATTGCTATTCTTGAAAGTTATTGCAAATATATTAATTAGTTATACATAACTAATCTTTAGTTAAAAATAATGTAATCTAGTTAGCCTTTTGGAAGTATTGCTTGCTTTCTTTGGGATTTGGTTTGATAGTGTCTGCATTTGTATCTGGATTCCAATTGGCTGGGCAAACTGAAAAATAAAATATATATTTATTATACTCAGAGAAGAGAATTTAGTGTGTTATTTCTTCACAGCAAACATTAGGTACATATAAAAATAATAATTTTCAATAAAATGTCTATTTCTAGTTACCACAACATACAAACATATATATTGTATATGTCTATGTATATAAAACAAATAGTTTAGGATTACTTCGCGTATTTTATTATGTTTTTTTTAAACTACATACTTCCGACATTGCAGTTACTTTGCAGCAACTGTGAACACAAGCAGTTGAGATTTTATATAGGTATGTATATTTCTGGGCACTTGAATATTGTACTGATTTTATATCCATATTTTGGATGAGACAAATCAATAATTAATAATATGTCATTATTATTTAGTAGTATAGTAATTTAAATATATTTAATTACCTTCTCCATGTTTATCAGCAAACTGGAATGCTTTAACGAGCCTAAGAGTTTCATCAACGGACCTTCCGACTGGAAGATCGTTGACTGACATGTGTCTTAATATGCCATTGCCATCAATAATGAATAATCCTGGAATTAATTGAAAATGAATGTAAAAATAACTCATTGAAGTACATATAAGATGAATAGTTATTTGTTTAATAAGCAATGATTTTAGGTTTGAATCTTGGATGATGTTGATTGGTAGATTTAATGTTATACATTAATATATTAATAATAAATAAGTTATGTTAACTTCATATTATATATATGTATTTAGTGTGTTTTTACCTCTAAGAGCAAACCCTTCATCAAGAAGAACATCATAATCCCTTGAAATGTTTTTCTTGTAATCAGACAGCAACGGTATATCCAATTTTCCTAAACCGCCATCCTGTAAATAAATATAATTTACTTAATATAAGATACATATTTATAACTCTTAGGTTAAAAATGAATCAGTATTTATATTATATGAATTGAAATTCATTAAAAATAATTAGTATTACAATCATCATCATCAGCCTGACAAGCAAAGGCCTCTTCTCACATGAAGAGGCCAGATAACCACAACTCTTGCTAAAGGCGAAATGGTGACAATATAATAATCAATATTATAATAAACATGAAAATATTTTTGCAAAATTTTCATTTTAATAGACAATTTATATTAAAACAACTTGTTTTACTCTATATAACATTTTGGGTATGACATTTACTGTTTACAGTAAATTCTGGTTTATGAGAAAAATGTTTAATTACATACAATTGTATACTCAAAGAAACCTCGTTTTTACCTAATATAATAATATTAGATATAGAAATTATAAATAAATTTTTATTTAATATTATTTTTGATTATATATTTGTGTGTAATACCTTTCTAGGAGTGTTGACCCATGCTAAATGACTGAACTCCGAGTCTGTTGAAACTCCAATAACTTGACAATCAATGCTTGCAAATTCTTGAGACCTATCGCTGTACGCAATTAGTTCAGTCGGGCAGACGAATGTGCTGAAATATTTATATATATATTTAAATATAAACATACAACATAGTTTTAATTTAATCTGAATAAAAGTATATAATACAGTGTAATATGCAATAATTTATTACTAATAACTAAAATATCATACAAATCTAATGGATAGAAGACCAGAACGACGTATTTTCCAGAAAAATCTGATAGTTTCAAATTGTTGAACTCTCCGTTGACTACTGCAGTTGAATTGAAATCTGGTGCAGGTTTACGGATTACTGGCGCAAAGGCAGCGTTTGCTAGAAATATTAAGAGATTTTCAATATATAAATTCAAAATCAAACACGTAATTGAGGGCACTCAAGTTAAAAAATATTTATTTCACTTTCCGTAAGTGTCACAAATATTGTGAACTATTTACCGGCGATTTAGGTTTTATGTACTTACTTGTGCTGAAACAACTTTTTTTGGTAATTGAGATTGCTGGAGCCAGAACCTGATAAATGAAATAGTATTTTATTAATAGAACATAACTCGATGAACTTTAAAGTTTCTTTTTCTAAACTAACCCTTCTGGTGAGCTGTTTTACAAAGAATGACATTTTCGTTAATTTAATATGTATCCGCTGTTTTTTTAAGTTAAAACAATGAAGTATTTAGGAAATTAAATTAGCTGGACTTTGGTCCTAATTGTTATACAGAAAAATCTGCCTATAGTAGGATCCAGAATAACACTTGCGAATTCATATGATTATGACAGTAACGTTATGTAAGGTTATTTTTTAAGTAGAATATATCAATAAGGCAAAAGTTTCACTGTACATCTCATCTTTTTCCTATCACTTTAAGTAGCAAAAAAAATATATTTTTAGCATTACTTTACAGCTTAAAGAGACGCTTTTAAACCCATACTTTAATTGGATAAATGATATCCATTTGTGCTTCAATTAATAGACTTCGAATTTACATGCGAACTTGATGAAATAAAATCTTAAGAACTTTATTTATTTAAGATGTTTATCAAAGTTGTATAAAATGGTATAGTATATTTTGTCATACTTAAAGAGTTTTTATCATAGCGGTCATTGAGATAACAGAAGGCTTTATTTGGATAAAAGATGCTGAGGAACTCAAAATATTGGCCAAAGCAAAGAAAAAAAGATCGTATTGAATTTAAAAAAATAATTTATTATTAATTTTAGTATTGTTTTCACTGTCAAATAATTCACTTCGAAACATATTGCAAGAATAAAACATTTATATTAAGAAAATTGCATATAAATTTAAATTAATATACATATTTGTATACTGTTATATGTAGATAATATTATTTATTATATATTAAAAGCAGATTTCCTCTTTCATTTCCGGTATGTGTTCCAGATCCAGACACTTCGTTTTTATGAGTCTTTTAAACCACAACGCCGACAATCTTGCCTTCCTGGTCTTCTTTTCGTCGTTAAAATCGACTTCGAATAGTCCAAATTTTACACTGGCAATAAAAAAAAATTAAAATATTGTTATATTTTTATATGTCGTTATGAAAATTCAATTATATGGTATATAATGTTCTGTTCAATATCCAATATTGTGTTTAATTAAATTTTTGTACTTGCTATGCAATATTAAATACCAGAAAAATATGACAGATTAAAAATATGTGTTCACTATAATTTTGTGGTGACACTCATGTTTTTGGTGTCTTAGTAATTTTAAAATCATCATTATAAATTCTAAAATACCAGTATTTTCACCTTAATCCGCTATCCCATTCAAAATTGTCCATCAAACTCCACACTGTATATGACGTGACATTGCAGCCGTCAATTTCAATGGCGTCAAAAATCGAGTTAAGATATTTCCTAAAGTAGAATATTCTATCAATGTCTTCTAAACCACCGAAAGTTGCGAAACCATTCTCGGTTATCATTATTGGTGGATTATTACAGTTTTCTTTCACCCATTTCAAGGCTTTTCTGATTCCGTGTGGAATTACCTAAACGAAAGACATAATTGCGTTATAATTTATTTAGAAATTAAATTTTACGTTATTTAAATGTTTACTATTGTTCAAGTTTACTGTAAAATAGAAAAAGAAGCAAAACATGTTTCTCATTGCCGATTAAAACTTCTTTTAATCTTTTTACCTATATTGAGACGTGTGTACCTATGTTTAATTTATTAGGTAAAGAAAAGAGGTTTACTTAATTATAATATATTCACAAAAGTATCATATATTAAGTAAGGAGTATACCCTACTTACTGTTACATGAGGCACTGCACCTTTTTCATAGTCCAAGTAAGTAAAATCTGCCCCAATATCATCATCATACGAAGGTATTGGATGTTTTCCAGGCGTGTAAGTGTCTCTTGTGAAAAATTTCGTAGAATAATGATTGAAGCCATAAAAATCACTGGTACCTGTAACGAAAATATGAGTTACTAGCATTCCACCCGCAGCTTCGCTCGCTATGAGTTCGGTTATATCGCGTTTCCAAGAGAACCTTTCAAAAGTCTGGGATAAAAACTATCCTATGTTCTTTCTCAAGGTCAACTCTATCTGTACCAAATTTCATTAAAGTCAGTTCAGTGGTTTAGGCGTGAAAGCGTAACAGGAGTGTAAAAAGCGTAGGGATATACATATGTTAAAAATTATTATTAATAATAAATTTGTATGTATTAATTTAAATTAACCTTTAGCATACTCGATTTCTTCGTCAGTAAACTCTGGTAGTCGACTTTTACTGTAACCTTGTTCTTTACTTTTTTCGGCCACCCTTTTGATAACTCGTTCAGGAAAACCACCCTTGGATGTGAATATAGGATGACTGTACAATCCCACTTCGAAATCCATAGCATCAAGACCAGCTTCAACATCATCATGAGAATCAGATACTCCGACACGGAAATCTGTTGCTATTGTGATACCGCAAGTTCCTAAGAATTAAAACTATGCTAAATTTTACTTTAAAGGAATAATGACAGTATATATCTTGTGTATACTCAATTTTATTTGGCCATGGCTGAATATACTGTGCGTGTTTGCACGGATGAAGATCATATTTAAAACAACCTTACCTAATCTAAGGAATAATTATGTTTTTTTTGTTAAATACGTCATATAACTTAGACCCCCAACGCTTAAATAGAGCAGCTTAAAGTATTTTTTTGGTTTTGTACTCAGAAAAGAAATAATAAAGACGAAATCACTTGAAGAACCTAGCATTTCTGTCTATAGAAAGTTTATTTTTGCATGTTTTTTTGACATATTATGAGTATCTTTAGCCTGTCAATTAGCTTAAGTAGGACTTGCTGTGATAACTTCACAGCAGCTTCTATTAGTGCAGCACAAAATGATCTTATTGACTTTAACAAAGTTAGAAAGATTAAAAAGTATAAATAAAGTTACTTCTCTTTGAAAAGTAATAATTATCACCTTTTTGGGTAGGTCTAAACTGTTTATCGTATATATGCCAAGCTCTAGCATGAGCTAATACCATATTTTTAGCAGTTATATAATCAGCTATTCCTGATATATTTAATGCTGGAGCCATTCTGGTCATTCCGTAACCGAAAACACCGATCTGTTTCGGTTCATTGATGGTTATCCAGGTTTTGACTCTGTCACCAAAAAGTTGGTAGGCAACAGCAGCGTAGTCACCAAACCAATCTATTATGAGAGGATTGCTCCAACCACCTAATTCTTGGAGTTTCTGCGGCAGATCCCAATGGTACAATGTAATTATTGGTTCAATATTGTTCTCGAGTAGTCCGTTAATCAGATTATTGTAGTATTCGCGGCCTGATTCGCTGATTTTATTTGTAAAACCGTCAGGAAGTAATCTCGGCCATGATATAGAAAATCTGTAGAAGTCGAATCCCAAGAATTTTATCATCTCCAAATCACGTTTGTAATATTTGTATGAGTTGCAAGTGTCATCTCCGCTTGTATTATCTTTTATAGGACATGGTTCCTTGTGACAATGAGTGTCCCAAATACTTGGTGTTTTATCTGGTGGTGAAAAATATTATTATAATAAGTAAATGTCTATAAAATGTTTTAAAATTATTTTTATTAAAGCCGCCGTGTTGTTGAATACATAAATTACAATAAATCTAAACGGTATTTTTTTTTGCTCTGATACAAAAAATAATCAACTTCGTAATGGCCATTACTTGAATTTGATATTGAAAGCTAAGAGTTAAAAGCTGAAATCAGTTCTATATATAAGTTATTTAATGTTGTGGTTTATGTTAAAATTTTATTTATATGTTTTAAATTAACTATTTAAAATAAGGCCAAACATCATGTGATTCATATATTTCAGTTTAGAGACTTATAGAATGCAATTTCCACCAATCATGAGCAAATGCTTTTCTCTTGAAGATATATATTTTTGTTTATTATCCAATCAGGAAATGTTATTTACTCTCCAATTTTTTAAGAACAGTATGAAAGAATGAATGAAATTATTTTCATCATATTACCTCCAGCGTTCCAACCCCCTTCTATTTGATACGATGCCGTAGCGACCCCTATCTTTAAACCATTCGGTAATTTCCTCATCTTTATCTTATTTTAACATACAAATAATTATTTAATTCATATAAAACCTTTTTGGTACAATTATTAATTAAAAATAAATACGCTTTCACTGTTAAAGATATAATCTGTGACTAAATATCGTGTGATGGTAATAAGATAATAATTTATCTAGATATATATATGTTTTTATCATATTTTGTTTCTTTGACTTCTTCGTCCTTAAACAATAGATACGAATTTTGTATATCAGAATTTTTGAAGATTATAATATACAATTACAAAACAAATAACGACGATAAGTGTGATAGTTCTGTTTACTTAGATTGATATCGAATATACATTTACTGAAATAATATATTTATGTTAATTATGAGTAAATAATATAATTATAAGTAATTAGATCATGTTTCTATTTATGTATAGTTTTCTATTGATTTGCAATGTGTCACAATAACTTAATCCTTAATGTCTCAGATTTAAATGAAACTAATATTTTCGATTACTATGCGTTATTTTATTATTTTGAACTATATACTCCTGACGTTTCGGTTATTTTGCTCCAACCACGATCACGGACATACGAGTTGAATTATATATTTTAAATATAAAACGCTTAAGTAAATAAAAAAGGTGTGCTAAATCCGAAAATATTAGTTTTATTGGAACGTTATCCTTTTGTATTATTTAATAACTCAATTAATCTCTATATCATCTTTCGTAGTGAAATTTTAATTTAATTTTCATATTGTCTGATTGTTACACTTCTATTATGATGATTTCAATGTCTACATTTGAATAATCTATCAAATTAAATAACACAGTAACATTGTAAAATCAAGTTATAATTAATTTACTTGTGAAAATGGGTCATTGTGTGATTGGAAAACCGCAAATTGGTGTATAATTTCTTGTTAAGAATAAAAATGTACACAATATAATGTTAATGTGAGTAAAGTGTTATATTCTGTTACAAACTGAATTTATTTAGAATTAAATTTCACTCCTTAGAATGATTGAGAGTTTTTTTTTCTTTAAACTTCTTTATTAGTATTATTGTTTCAGATATTAATATAATGAAGTTGACTCGTTGAAAAGCGTCTTTAAGCTGAGTTTGTTTCTTGTAAGTACAATAGAAATCGTCGTGGAAACTTCTTTGCCATAGCCCACAGGTGGAAAAGAATTGCAGGGCTTGGAGTTGAACTACAAGCCTTTTTTCAAAAGGTCCAAGAGATCCGGTTTAAGAGGTGGTTAGAGGTAAAAGCTTGCAATAAAGGGTGACGACGATATTTTCTTCGGAGCGTTGGCGGCTAAGATGCTGATTCTTTGGAGAAAATAATTTATTCACTACACCTCTTTATCAAGGAAGGTCCAGTAGGCGACGGCGACCTGCAAGGCAGTTTGTTGATGCGAGAGCAAAGGAGAATAGGAGGGCAGTCTCGCTTTACACAGACTACTTCGTAAGGCTACTCAATGCTTTTATTACTCTGAATACTTGATCTGGAGCTTGGAAGATTCCGCCACATCACGGTTGGATGGCCAAGTTACATAGTGGTTTTCCAATAAGGCGATGAGTGTCGTTGATGTTTAGTAAGTGGTGTTGGCATTATCGTGCGTCTCACATACCCCTCCGACTACCCCGTTAAATTAGAACAAAGTAATAATGGGATTCTCAGAGGAAAAAAGTTCCGCACTCATCAAGTTTACACTTATTCGAGTTGCCATTTTTTATATATGTACCTATATGTAGGTAACTGAATGAGATACGGGAAATGTTCCGCATGTATTATGACGATGCTAAGCTTGAATAAGAAAAGTTAAACGGCCGACATATCAATTGTATATCTGTCATTATTGTAACAAAGCAAAAATTCCTTGTCTAGACCAAAAATTCCTTTTAAAAAGTTGTAAAAAACTATAACATTGAGATATTTCCACATGATGTCCAATAAAAACAAGGTATGAAAGGGTTTTAATTAAAAAGTTCAATTCAAGAACAATGATGACAGTTAGATGAAATGGATTTCTTAACCAGTGTGGGGAAGTGGGGAGTTTTGATATGACACCAACTTTTAAGTAGAAAATTCCAAAATTAATTAAGTATATTAATTTGTATTAAATAAAGCTACATATGGCTTATTTAATTAATAATTATTGGAGAAGTATAGTTATAGTATAGAATATATATATACTAGCTGTTACCCTTGTCTCCGTCTTCGAAGAAAAAACAAAGAACAATGAAAAATCTTTTCAGTAGGTACATACCATGCACACACACAGGAGTAATGAAAACGAATAAATTTCTCGAAATAATAATAATATAATAAAAACAATCTGATATACTTACTAAAAATTATCTATTATAATATATTAACTGAACTGTCATTTGTACTTTTAGTAGGTATTTTACTATTGTAAATATTCAAAATATTTTCAGAGATCACATATAATATATATTATCATATAAAATTAAAATATTTCAATATTTTATTGTGTGAACTAATATTAATATAACTATGATATATTTCAGAAAACTTTGCTTCGTCTTGGAATGCAAAAACAAGAGAATTGAAAAAATATTTTCTGACTCACACCTGGCTATATACAAACGTATAAAAAGAGATATTCTTTATAAAAAAAATATTTTTATTCCTCGTTTAGATGCCGTAGTATTCTATGTATGATCGAAAACATGTATTATTATTTATATATACAGGGTGACTGGTGAATTACTAACGATATTTGAGGACGTGATATTTGACGATCATATATGACAAAATAAAAATTAATATAACATAAATATTAATAAACTTCTAAGTAAAGTTAACCAAAAGTTATGAAATTAATTGCGCATCGTGTGAACACCCTACAGATTAGGTATACACACACACTCACACACACGCGGCGGGGGCGTGGTTTTGTATCAGCACGCCGCCGCACGCGTCCACACTTGGAACACTTGGAACGTGTCAACACTTTATTTATTTATACGGAAATTTGGTAAAAAATTAAGTACCTATTTTTTTTTACATAATTCGAATGAGAATCATGTACCGAGTATGTTCCTTAAATATTGATAGTAATTCACCAGTCACCCTGTATATATTTTAATAAAAACAAACACGCGTCCTAACAATTAACAATATAATATAAATATAAGTATAGAATTATGATAAAATGAAGTTTTATTTTAAAATATAATTTTAAAACTAATATTATTTTCACGATCTACTTTTAAATTGGTATTTTTTTTTAAGTTGAACACTTTTCCCCGTTCGCCTCTAAAATAAATAAGTTCCATTAAAATTGAGGACAAATCGGTAATATTGATTCAGTTGTATTTTTGCTTACATTTTAAGACGTTAAATTAATTTGATTATATTATAGGTTAGTCAATTACTATGAGGTATAATTATAATATTTACTTGGAATGGTTATCTATTCTCAAAGAGGGTTGATGTGAGGCAGGCGGCCGGTCGGAAAAACAATTAGCCAAAACTGTTCACAACATGTAAGGCAGACCCTGGCTAAAGCTGGGAAATCGCCAGGTAGAAGAGACTTGAAATGGTTATTTCAAAAATCCTAGTTAAAAAAGAAAAATAATAATGGCAATTGAATGTATTGGTCATTTGGATGAGACTTTTTAAATGAAAATATATATTTTATGAAAACTTAAACATTGAGACTCCGGATATTCAAATAGTTTTAAATGTTAGAAAATAAAGTAGATTTCTAAAATGTACAAATAATTCCTATCAGTTTATCAAATGTAATATTTTTTTTTGTGTTTATGAATTTGCGCACTTTTTTTAATGATGATGTAATATTTCAACCTTCTCTTCTTTAGAAGCTTTTTGTATGAAGTACTAGCTTTTGCCGCGGCTTCGTCCGCGTGGAATAGTGACTTCCGCAGATTTTTGGTTCTTCCCACATAGTTCCCGTTCTTGCGGGGTTTTCGGAATGGTCGAGTTCCCTTAGAATTTTCAGGATAAAACCTATGTTTTTTTATTCACAATGAAGTACTCTTAACCAACAACATATTTATTTGTTTATTTGAATAAAGATTAATATTATTATGTTGATACAACTTAAACAAATTATTTCGACCAAATTAGGTACCTACCATAAAAACGGTTTTTGTGAGTTAATCTTAAAAGATGGACATATACTGTCGCGGACTGTTTTTTAGATCATTAAAAGAGCTATTATTCTGTCATACATATTTTTTGTGTATCTTGAACCGTTTTCACGGCGCACGCAACGGAAGGCTTCAAAGATGAAGTAATTTCTCCCGTTTTTTACACATTTACCACTATATCTTTGCTCCTATTGGTCGTAGCGTGATGTTATATAGCCCACAGCCTTCCTCGATAACTGGACTATTCAACACAAAAAGAATTATTCAAATCGAACCAGTAGTTTCGGAGATTAGCGCTTTCAAACAAACAAACAAACAAACAAACAAACAAACAAACAAACAAACAAACAAACTCTTCAGCTTTATAATATTAGTATAGATATACACTGCAGTAGTATATACTGTACAGTCTGCAGTTTACACGATACAGTTTGCAGTTTACACGATACACGATACAGTTTGCAGTTTACACGACACACGATACAATTTGCAGTTTACACTATACACGATACAGCTTGCAGTTTACACTGAATAATCTTTGGATGAAAAGTAAAAGTAGGTACGTCTTTTGATATTATTCTAACATCTCGAAGATTCGAAACCGATTCTAACCTTTTGCTGTTTTATAAAATACTTGTAAACCCGGCGAACTCCGTTTCGTTATCAGAAGGCTTTGTTTTATGTAAAATTTCGTTTGGTGATTAAAAGATGAAGAAATTTTTTTCGTTTTATATTTGAAAAGGAACATTTTTATTTCATTTTACAACAGTACCTAATGAATTCATTTCGATGACAAAAATGAAGTGTTGTAGTGTTAGGGTTAGTTGAACTTCTCTAAGTAAATGAAAATGAATCCAAAGTAGATACCGAATCGAAGCGTTATACG